GATACTTGAGCTATATATACTATTCTAGAAGCTACTTGTCACATTTGGTGACTCTAGCTCATATTATTTGCCGAAATTGCTCAAAAAACAGCATTTCGATATCGATTACTTGGAAACGGGGCAAGTTATCGAATATCGGAAACAAACTCGATCTGCGCGGGCACTAGGAGGACCCACAGCCAAAATTTCAAGTCCTTACGAACGACTCGGCTGTTGATGCTGATCAAGAATATATATGTATATACTTTATGCGGTCGGAGATGCTTCCTTCTGCCTGTTACATACATTTGCACAAACACATAATACCCTTTTTAACCATTTTCAATGGGTTCAGGGTATAAAAATCAAATCATGGCCATTTGCAACGAACATGAAGCACAACGGACTTTTCATAATTCCAATATGTTCTAGAAAAATATGTACATGAACAAGTTTGTCTTTCAGCTGCGACTCAAACAAGTGCAATATCTTGTTAACAAAATTGCAACCATATTTGGTGAAAATTGAACAAAAAATTATAGAGACAGCCACATGTTGCTGGGAAAACTCGAAGCTGCAGCAGGTAGGGTACAGCAGAAAATGAAAAATAATCTCAGGCCGTTTGTGCGGTCGCTGATACGGGGGCGGGGGTTGGCAGGCGGGTCAATCCAGCGGATCAGCCCAGTCTCAGTGGCGCTCCTCGTGACGACGTCCCGCTGTGCGCCGGCGCAATTGATGACTCAATTGTCGCCGAAGTTTGCTGTTGTTGTTGTTGTTGTTGTTGTAGCTCCTTGTGTAAACGACTTGAACTCGAACCCGAACTGGTTGAGCTTTGGTACTAAAAGGAAATCTTTGCGACGAGCCACTTGCCTTGCCTGGTCGCTACATAACGGCCAAGGTGAGCAGCACAGACACAGCGCCGTTTGTTCCATATCAAATGTCGTGGTGTGCATGTGAGAAACTTTTTGGCGCTCTTAGAACAACGTCACTGTCAATTATTTGTAAATTACACAGCTATACATATGTATATGCAGTAACAAGCGTACCAGACCTTGAACTTAACGCCAAATCGTATGTAAATAAACAGCTAAACCGAGTGACATTTATTGTTAGCCGGAAAACAATTGCGAATTAGAAATTATTCGCATCTAGCTGAACAATTTTGGCAATGCACACGACTCATTTGATTGGCATCAAGGGCGTAAGAATGTTTAAAATGCGCTATTTTAACATAAATGCAAGCAACATTTTCAAATGTTCAAAGACCGCCAAACTTATCGCGCTGAAACCGATATAATTTATCGATAGACTGTACACACACATATCTGACTCATATTGCCAGCCCTGGTCTGGCCTGGTCTTGTATTATCATTTCATAACAATAACAAAAAAATGTCACTTACACAAAAACTAAATTATTACGCCAAACGAAAGTCATTTAAATATGGTATACCCTTTCTAATAATGATGGTAGCCGGCTCATTTGGACTGCAACAGTTTTCTAATCTAAGGTAAGAAAGGTAATCTCATTTGGAACTTACATGCACTTGACGTTTTTGTTGCTTGCAGATATCAGTACTCCAAAATGCAACCTGTCTCGCCGGAAGAAATGAAGAAATACGGCGTGAGTATGAAGAAACGTCAAGAAGTAACGCTCGAAACGGAATATGATAAGGTTAAAGGCATCGACATTGACAATTGGTCAAACAAGCGAGGTCCACGGCCTTGGGAAGAGGAAGAGCTAGCGGCTTTATCTGCGGCCAAATAATTATTATGAAACATATGTGATGTAGGCTTTAGCGTTCATTTAATATTGTAAATAAATAAATATCTTCATATTAAAATGCATATGATTATTGGCAGAAAAGCCTTTTGTAGCCCTGAATAATCGGCGGAATATGTAGGTACATATGTCGGGGCTGCCAACCTGATCAAATCAGCTGCGACGCTTTGACAAATATTTTCAACCAAAAAATGGGAGAAGTTAAACCCGTAAAAATGGATAGCTGGACACCATCTGATGCAGCTACAATATTTGCTGATGGTAACACCCAAACTCACAGTCGCAGCAAAGTTTTTTATCTATAAATGTATCTTATAGGGGAACGTGTGCTATGTTTCCACGGGCCGCTTATCTACGAAGCCAAAGTACTCAAAACAAAACCCGAAAGTTCGCCGGTTGAATATTACATACACTATGCGGGCTGGAGCAAAAAGTAATCGTGCCTAATATGGAAATTGTTTTATTTATTTAAACTATATTTGTTTTTCGAAACTTAGCTGGGACGAGTGGGTACCAGAGAGTCGTGTGCTAAAGTACAATGAGGATAACGTTAAGCGCCAAAAAGAACTCGCCCGAGTGTATGGAGAACGCTCAAAGAAGGACAACAAGAAAGGTATGTACTGCACTTAAATGCTGTTTTAATTGAATGCTCACAATGGAGTGTGTTTCCCTACATGCCAGGCAGTGCAAAAGCCAAGAAAATGGAGCAAGTTGGCAATGAATCTCGGGCGTCGACGCCCTCCAAAGAGGGCAACACATCTTTGCCGGCAACTGGCACCAGCAGCAACACTGCCAGCACACCCACGGTGGCTGCACCACCCACGGCTAAGAACGAAACTAGCAATAGCAGCAACAACACCGCCACAAGCAGCAGCACAGCCACGACCACGACTAGTCGAAGTAATCGGAAATCCACACAATCTGCCACAGCAGCAGTACGGCCGAGCACGCCCAGTACTGCAGGCGGAGACAAAAAAGATGATACATCGGCGGCGGACAACACTGAAGATGAGGTAGCTACGCCGGCACCGCCTAAAGCCAAACGCATGAGCTCACAAAATAGCAACAGCGACCAGCGCTCATCCTTAACCGGTAATGGACAAGATGCAAGCACAATCGCAGCACAGCCACAGCAGCAGCCAACGACAGCGTCAACAACAGTTGCAACTGCTGCTGTTGTTGCCACAACAGATGCGCCATGTGTGGAGAGCGAGGAAACGTACACGGCAAAGCTAGAGGTGAAAATCAAAATACCAGATGAGCTTAAGCATTATCTTACCGACGACTGGTATGCGGTAGTGCGTGAACACAAGCTATTGGAACTGCCCGCCAAGGTGACAGTACAGCAGATAGCTGACCAGTATTTGGCGCACAAAAAGTCGGTGAAGTCGACCAGTGCTAGCAAAGAGGTGGCCATTAACGATGTGCTTGACGGCATCATCGAGTACTTCAATGTGATGCTCGGGTCGCAGCTACTGTACAAATTTGAGCGCACCCAATATGCAGACATAATGCAAAAGCATCCAGATACGCCCCTGTCCGAACTGTATGGCTCCTTTCATTTGTTGCGCCTGTTTGTGCGACTTGGTTCAATGCTGAGCTATTCGGCGCTTGATCAGCCGGCTATGCAAACGCTGTTAGCCCATTTGCATGACTTTCTCAAGTTTTTGGTGAAGAATAGCGCAATGTACTTCAATATGACAAACTTTATCAATGTTGATCCGGAATACGTGCGTAATGCGCAGTAGATGCATCAATAAAACCCGGCATATACATAACTCAACGCAGCTCTTATTTGAATTGCAAATGTTTGCTGCTTTTAGACTTTAATTTGAGAGTTGCTTTGCACAACTGGCTTGTAATATATAATAAAAATCATCCATAGGGAATTTGCATAAACAAATAAATCATCTTCTTGGCCTCTTGTAAAAACTAAATTATTCTAGTTTTGCTGCTCGTTTTCATCTGCACTCTCGCTACTGCTGCTGCTACTTGTGGGATAGAACTCCTTCAGATCCCTTGGCTTGTCGCGCTCCTTTTGCTCCGCCTCCAGATATTCATTTTGCACCTTCAAAATCTCATCGCTGCTTTTGCACGCCGCATACGCATTGAGCAGTTTCTCGTTGAGCTCCAAAAACGCATGACCCCAGGAGAATTTGCCCATAAACCAACGTGCCTCTTCAGTAAAGCCACATATATGGAGAGTTGCTGCTATTGCCTCGACACAGCTTAACTTGCAGGGTTTTCCATAGTTGATTGGATTTGCCGCCACCAGGAATGGCAACAGGCGGGGATGGGGACTGCGCATTCTATTAAACGGTGTCTCGTCCAGCTTGGCCCAGGAACAGTCTATGACAGCCACCCCAGAAGCATTGACGATTTCGCGATCCTGTGGACTAACACACAACTGACCGATCGGTGAGAGGACGAGTCCTGGAAACTTTTGACCCAAACGCAAATTGGAAATAAGTCCAAGACGTGCCAGCTTTCTGCCAGAACACTTTTTCGGGTCACAGTGATTTAGGTCCCACATGGCAACTGCAAAATCTGGAGGCTGACCCAGTCCCTCCAAGTTGTCACCAGACGAATCGGATTCGGAACTGTCACTATCGGTGGCATTACCTTTGGAAAGTTCGTTGGCCTGTTGGGCGAAACTGCGTTCGCAGTTGTGATTTGATTTAACGTTTCGATATGAGCTTGCACCCGCCCCGCGCTTGGATTTGCCTCTATGTCGCGCACTCATTTTACTTAGGTTTAATTTAAATAAATTAAATAAGTTATATGTATTTCTACACACAAGTTTGTTTTTGCTACCTTGATGGCAGCCGTTTGTTATCGATTTGGTTTACAGAGCACATGCTGCGTTTTGGCGCCTTGATAGTTTTTCAAAGTAGAGATTAATTTACTTTCAATATGTACGTCATCATGGGTGAGCAATGCCAGATTACCAGAATAAATTTAATACGTTTAAAATAGTAAAGTTATCATAAACTTCTCACTGAATATTTATATTCTTGGTTAAACAATAATTTGCTATCGATTGTTGGGAAACTATCGGTTGTGTGGCGGTGGTGAGAAGTGCGGATTTTCAATAAGGTCACTCTGACGCCATCTTTTTCTGTTTCACGGAAAAAATTACAAATTTGTCCGGTAAAAACAGTGTGCAATAAAAAAATCAATGTATGTTCAATACGTAAATAATTAAAAAAAAAACTAAAATATACTTGTGCAAATTTTGATCATACATTCCAAAGTACAATTTGCATAATGACGATATTGTAGAGCCTTGCGATAACGATTGTGTCTGCAAATAAACGTTTTGTGTGTGAAAAATAAACAGAATCTAGCGCCAATTTGTTAAATAGAAATATATCACCACATTTCAAGAATAAAAGCCATTGCATAGGTAATTAAAGCAGTTTGTGTTGAATGTGTGCAAGCAAGGCGCATTGTGCATTGCATTTCACATACACATTAGAAGCATATATATGTGGCATACATACTAGAGTTGAGAGCGTGACATCCGTGAGCAAAACACACGAAAACATATATAAATATAGAATTTTCAAAAAGAAACTATTGTAAAAAGTTTAACTTATGCAAAGTATATAATTTGTTATTTTTGTTAATTCGAAAAGTCGTAAAATGGAAAATGTTAAATGCGATTTTTTTAGTTGTAAGTTTCTTGCCCAACTGACATACACCCATCTCTAGCATTCGCACACATACATACACAAACATATCGGAGCTGCATTGCCGCGCCACGGGCAGTTAATGTTTGTTGAAAATCAATCGACGCCAGTAGAGCGCGTTTTAGTTGTGCAAGAACTAAACAATAATATTAATTCACTTGATTAAATATGGTTTTCTTGTGTTTTTTATATTCCATTTAACTACGCTGTGTTGCAATCGTGTCCTAAATTGAAATTTCCTGCTCCCAACGGAGTACAGTTGCGCCAGCCTCACGCTAGAAAAGCCAAACAACGACAACCGAAGACGACGACGACATCGCGACGGGGAGGCCGCGTTTCAAAAATACAGCATTTTATTTGAAAGAGAAACTAACAATATGGGTGAAGTGAAGTCCGTGAAAGTTGACAACTGGGGCGTCTTCTTTCTGCAGAAGCTCCAGAATTTCTTCAATAAAACGGACTATTGCGATTTAACGCTACAGTTTCGGGACAATTCACAACTGAAGGTCCATCGCCTGGTCTTAAGCGCTTGCACCGATTATTTCAATGTACTGGAGCAGACTTGCGAAATAATTGACGACGCACTCATAATGCCGGCAGAATTTCAAGCGGATGTTGTGGTGCCGATTGTCAATTTTATGTACACGGGCACACTAGAGTTTGAGCTTAAAATGTATGGCAAACTGTTGCGCACCGCCAAAGAGATGAACATGACCGTATTGCTGAAGCTGCTAGAGGCCCATCGTCGCACCATGGAGAATGTGAATCGCCAGCAAAGGGTGAGAGTTGTTAATCTAGATATCTTATTCATAACTAAACTGTTCTTCACTGTTGACAGCCACCCAGTCCGAAGGGTATACGACGTCGCCCTATGGTACCCAGCGGCAATGCCATGGCGGCACAGCAGCGTGTGTCCACACCACAAAATCGTATTGGTGCCATACCAGGCAACAGCAACACAGTGCGTACGAATGCGCAACAGACACGTGGCGTGAATACACCCACAATTCTGCGCACCGGCGGCATTAGCAATCGCGCACAGTATATGGAGTCAGCGTCGACGACCACGTTTGTCAAACAGGAGCCCACCTCGCCATTTGAGCAGCTCCGCAAGGGTTACAACAATAACAAGAGACCGGCACAGACCAGCCTGTTATCGCCACCGTCAAAGAAACCAAGTTTGGAGGAGGTCAAGGAGTTTGCAGAACAGCAGCGCATGCGCAAACAAATTGCCGCCGAATATGGTGACCATGGCGATCCCGAATATGACAACATGATGCTGTACGATGACGTGCACACCGGAGACGATGACGATGATGATATGCCGCCACAGCCATCGACATCGAAACAACAACAGCAAACCCAGCAACAGGTTCAACAATCCGGCACACAGACACAAATGGAACATGGCACAACAACCATCATACTCAAGCAAGATTCCCCGAGCCAAACACCCACGATTATTGTCAAGGATTCGTCCAACACAAAGCTGAATCATACTAAAATCATAGCCGAAGTGTTGCGTCAATATCCACACATTGTGAAGGGACACAAGAATATCAAATTGAAAATAATGCCCAACAGTCCGGTCGATAAAGCAGCGAACGCTGTCAAACGTGCCTCACCGGCACCAGCCGCAGCAGCAACAGGTTCTCCAACCAGCGCTACTTCGCCACACAAGAAGCTCCATGTTTCATTCAAGCCAGATAAACCCATGATAACCACACAGCAGCAAAAGTCCGCACAGAAAGTGACAACGGCTCAGCCGCCATCGGCCGAGGCAACACAGGCAGCAGCAGCGTCCTCTACGACGGCAACTGCGGCAGCGGCCGCGCAAAAGCGACGCATTGATAGCAAGACAATGCACGCGCTAATTGCACTCGGCGCTGAGAACACCACAGGTAAGCGCAGCCGATATCAGGTATCTTAATATAATTGACGCACACTCTTCAAAATGATGAAGAAAAAAATTATTCAAATAATTGTTCCATACGAAAGTCTCCGATGAGTGAGAGTCTTATGATCTAAAATAATGCTTAAGAAGTTGCACAACTAAATAACTAACAAAAAAAAACAGTTTAGTAACCTAAAGAATTATAGCCAGCTGTTCTATAACGAGTTCAGTATTATAATTTAAGCAGTATTATAATAGTCAAAGTTCTCGTAATTTTACTGCGAATCTGTCGCAACGTTTAAACCAGGTTCAAGACCTATAAATTATGATATCTACCCAAAAAAAAAGATTACATTAAATGGATATATTAATTGTTATCTTGGAACAGACGATCAGCATTAGCGCTATATTGACAAAAAAAAAAAAAAAAAATTTAGCATCATATTCCATATTCCATATTTTCACTAAATATCTTGTCTTTATTCTGTTCTTGTTTCGCAGGACCTTGGCTGTGTCTGCGTTGCGGCGTTAATGGTCGGCCAATTAGCATTCCATCATATCGTGGTTTCCGTCGCCATTTGATCAACACCCACAAGGAGACAATTGATCCGGCGCTATGCGAGCATTGTGGTTGGCGTTCCGGCAACAATCGGGAGCTGCATTTCCACATGTATACAGAGCATCAAATCAAATCGCTGCTCTACAACTTTGCGGAATGCGCCATGTGCAACCAAACGTACTTGACAAAGAGCGAGCTGGAGCAGCACATAAACGAGGCGCACACGGATGAGAACAAGCAGCAGTGCATTTATTGTAACAAGGTGTTTGCGCAGGAGCTGCAGCTGTACAGACATATGAAGAGCTATCACAAGGCACAGGCGCTTGAGGATGGCATCATTGATGAAACCGATGAGGAATATCTCGGTTCACAGGACGAAGACGAACAATTGGACGATGAGGACCAGGAAGAGGAGGAGGAGGAGGAGGCAGAAGAGGAGCCAATACAGGAGGAAAAGGTACGCATTTTATCCGACATCAGCTTGCCGGCGAACAGTGCCATGGTACAGCAACAGTCCCGAGATGAGCAAGAGGAGGCCGAAACAGAAGCAGATGCCGATGCGGAGCAGCTGCTGCAGTCGCAGACTCAGGAGCAGGAAGTCAAATTTGTCGGCGCCGATGGCAATGAGGTGGAGCTCACCGAGGAACAACGCAAGGAGATATTGTCACAGTTGAATCAGCAACAAGCTGGCGCACCCAGCGGCGGTGTTGTCATGGTGCTCAGTGAGCCCGATGTCGATGATAAGCAGGAAGGCGATGCCAAATCCTCAGCGGGTACCGAAGAGGAGGAATACGATGACAGTCAAATTTATAGCGAACTGGGCGCCACCGGTTCTGTAGAGAGCAGCAGCAAAAAGAGCGAAGCGGCTGATGAGAGCAAGGAGTCCATGGATAATCTTGAATGGGCCGAGAATTTAATATCAAAGCACGATCTGGAAACAGAGCAGAACAGCAAAGAAGTAAGTAACGCAATCGCAATACAATTAATACCGGTTATAATTCGAAAAATGTTGTATTACAGCCAAAGGCGGAAAAGCGTCGCGATGACATTAGCGAGAAGCTTAAAGAGCTGACGGGTGATTGGACCGAGGATGAGAACGAGGATGAGGATGATATGGATGACAAGCCCGCGACCACAGAACTAGCAGCAATTGTACAGTCAGAACCTGTAACTGAGAAACAAACAGCAGCAGACGCTGTAGCAGAAGCTACCGAAGAGCAACCTGAGCCGGAAGATGATATTGACTTGGCGCTAGAGAGCTTGCATAAGGACGGTGACGAAACAGAGGCCGCTACTAAAGATGCAGCAGCCGCCACCTCCAACACGGCCGAAATAATTCAAGCTGAGCCGGAAGCAGCTGTAAAAATGGATGTTGATGGTTTGCAAACGATGTCTATTAAAGATGAATTCGTTGTGGTTAAAAAAGAAGATGATCCTGAGGAGGAATTCATCAAGGAGGATGCGCCAACATCACTCGAAACTGAAACAGTCGAAAACATCAACAATGAGATCGCGGCAGAAAGCATTGCTGAAGCTGGGCCTGCCACTGGAATTGATGATGTCAATTTAGAAACGGAAAATATTCGCAAAGTATTGATCGATGAATTAATTGCTGAAGCGGATGCGCCTGATGCCGATACGGTGGCTAGCGAACAGCCAGAAGATGTAAAAGAGGTGCCGCCAACTCAGCTACCAGAGGTAGATGAATCAGAGGCGTTGCAACTTGACGCGACTAAAGCTGTTGTGGCTGCAGAGGAATCATCAGCAAATAATAACGAGGAAAAAGCAGAAGGCTCGCCGACGACGACGACAGCGGCATCCGATGCAACCGAGGAGAAACCAAGCACCAGCGATGCAGTTGACGTTGATGGAAAGCCACAGGCGCTAACAGGAACGCAGGAGAAATTAAAGAGTCTCATGAATGAATGGGTCGACGATGATGATGACAATGATGATGAGAATGGGGTTAGTGCTGAGGCGAAGGAGCAACTCTAATTACTAGATTTATTTATGTTTTAAGTTTGTTTTCGATTGCCAGTGCTACAGTATGACAGTTGAATGTTAAATCAGCATGGGAATTGTAGCTTATGCATGATTATATATATAAATATATGTATAACCAATGAATAGCTATGGCAAATCGATTTTCGGTTTCGATTGTAAATTAAAAACTGTTTCATTGACATTTAGTTTGGAACTTGCACCGGATTCACGCAACTTATATTAATACATATAAAAAATAAATATAGTATATTATACATATGTGACGCATATAGAAACCCAAGCTAAACTATCCCGATTTTCGTATGTCGTATTCTAGATCAGACCAAGAAATCAAATTATACGCAATTTGTGGGGGTTTTACTATTTCTGCTGCGTTATACCACCAACAATTCAACTTTAGTATATACACATATATATATATATTTATACGTATACTTATATATATAATATATAGAATTTGTCTATATACATATATATATATATTGAAAATATTACATATATAAATATGTAGTTACAAAGATGTTGTTTTAATTGGTTTAAAACAAAATTATAAAAGAAAAGTAAATGTGTATGAAATTACATTAAATCGCTTAGGATGAAGATGTTTTATGATTGATATATACTTAGTAATACGAATCAAATAACTTGAAAACGTTTTTTGATTAACACTACATGTAAGGTTAACAAAATATAGATTCTTTGGAGAAAGCAACAAAATATAAATGTAGATATAAAGAAAATTGATGTATTGGTGTTTATTTTATTTTGCAGCTAAGCAATAATCACAGACTCACAAGAATGTTAAAACAGATTATATTATAAAAGTCGCACTTTTTTGTAAAAAATCATTTCTGGTCTAAGACACTTAACGATACATTAAAAAAAGACAACAATTACATTTAGAAGATTTGTGCTATAGATACATGTTGAAAAGAGGGCAGCGCCCATGGAGATTTTCAGTCATCTGAAATGTGAAATAGTGAAGGCGTAAAAGCTAGAACTGATTAGCTCCAACTGACTTAGGCATGACGTACCAGCGAGATAAAAGTTAATGATGCACATAGTCGCAAAACCAGCAATGACTGTTGCGAACTGCGCGAATCCCGCCCAGCGACGAGTCGAATTAGTATGCCAGCGCGCCTTCTCGCGCGGTATCACTTCACAGACAGTCACATAGAAGAGAGTACCGCCGGCCAGTGCCTGTATTATGGGCAGCGTAGTTTTGGACCAGGCGGAGGGAATATCAACGATAAGCATGCCCAGACCAATGCCGCACACGGCACCCAGGGCAAAAACCAAAATGCCAATGAGGTGCGAACGAAAGCTTGCGCGTGAATTTGAGCATAACTCAAGGCCCAAACAGAAGCCCATCACAAATTTGTGACACGCAACAGCGCCGAGCAGAAAGAGCACCTAGAACAGAGAGCAGACAAAGTACGAATATTTACAACTGATTCTCTTATCTAAATAAATATTTAGTCTATGCGGCAAACTAATTCAATATGATAATCTGGCAGTATAAACTAAATGATGTCAAGGCATGCGCGCAAACCTTGCTGGCCGAGTTTTGTACACCGATAGCCAAACCCTCAATGGCCGAGTGTAAAGAGAGCGCCACAAAGAGCCCCAATGTGCCGGTCATGGATTGCGCACAGGGTTCCGTATGGCTGGTATGACAAATACGGGCATTTGCATCCTCGACGCTGGCATCGTCACAGCCGGAAACGGGAGCATAATTGTGATGATGATTAATTTGATCATGAACGCTGCAAGACAGATGGGCAATCAATACATTAAGGCAATTAAACAGCAACAATAACTCGATTTACTTTTCGTTGTGATGATGGTGCGTCGAAGTTGACATTGAATCTGCGCCTATTAAAGGTGAGCGCTCATCAATTGACCCATATGCATGGTTTGGGTTCGAGCTACCTGCTGCAGAGCTGGGTGCATGTGTATGCTGTATGGCCTCGCCAAAAAAGTAGTGTATGAACTCGTCAATGAAATAAATTATGAAAAAGCCGCCACACATGGCAACTTCTGCAAACTTTGAGTTCATTTGCTCGCGCACCTGTGTTAAAGGTGTTAAAGAGTTATCAAATTGCAATTGGCTACCAGCTCTTTACGTTTACCTCTGGCAAAATATGCACCAATGCTGTCGCTAGCAAAATGCCTGCACCGTAGCATAGCAGCAGCGAGGTAATTAGTGGAAATCGGAGTCGATTACTTGCTGATATTATGGCAGGCAACATTCCAGAAAAAAGGCTACCAAACCCAAGAACTAACATGGCCAACAATTTTTGCATATCGCCACGATCCTCTGTCTGCCAGTTGGTGTTATTTGTGGCCATATTTACGGCTGCTAAACTCATTATGTATTTTTACCACTCAGTCATCAAAAGCAAATAAACTAAAATTGGATCGACGCGATGAAACTTGAGTTCGTTGCCTATGCGTCTCGAGTAATTCAAATTAAACAACCAAACCGTACACACGAACGCTCAACACACTACAAAACCGAACGGCACGATGGCGAATGTTATTGTTCTTCAGTATTATCGCTGATGCTGCACTTATTTTGTTATCGATAGTTTTCAATCGATAGTTTCCAAGTCGCGAGCACAGCACAGCCAAGCAGTTGTGTTTGCGGCTTCTGTTTGAATTCATTTCTCTAGGTATATGGCTTGATTGCAAATTTCATAATGTAGATCGATTTTATAAGAATATTAATATGTAATAGAAAACTCTGTTTTGCTTTTATAGGCTAAAGTCCTTAATAATTATGCGCCTGTCCCATTCGAATACCTGTGTTTGTTAATCAAGTGGTCCTCGAGTATAAAATCAAAATTCAACCTTTTGGCGCCCTCACAAATTTTGTCTCCTGTCCATTGTAATGGAACGTCGTTGTATAGTTTGTGGGCAAACTCCAACATCAGGGTTTACCTATCCACACAATATGGATGAAGCTGTCAACTGGCAAAATATGCTTGCTTGTTTTGTCCCCGTCGAGACATTGCTCCACCACTGTTGCGTTTGTCATAAGCACGTCAATCGATCAGAGCAGGTGCAGCAACGTCAAAAACAGAAGGAAACCAGGGTCGACGATCTGATTGAGCAGCGGCGAAGTGTCACTTTCAACAAGGCTGACGCCGTTCTTTACTTTGGCCAACAGAGCAAGAAAGCACCACATAGTTGCACTCAGTTTGTAAGCGCAAAGAATTCGAACGAGCTGCAGACGAAAAATAATAGATTACGCATAAGTGAGGCAGCACAATTGTTGAACAATCCGCAAGCGAAATACCGTTGCAACTATATTGATACTGCGACCTTCAACGGCCATCCAGGGTCCCAGACCAAAGTAAATAACATGGCGGCCACAAATCCGTTGAGCAGGGAAAACAGAGAAGAGGATACGCTAGACAATCAGTGGGCTACCAGACGAACTTCTGGTAATGAGACATATGCTTCTCAAGTGGCCATTCAGTGCCAATGTGGCTCCTCTTCTGAAACTATCGACTTAAGAAATGCGAGACAACAAAATTTTGAGACCAAAAGACCAATGAGAAAAGCTCCAACCGCCACGAGAAGCAATTCACCTCCATGCATATGTGGATCTAGTTGTCCAATAGCCATGACAGCCGAAAGGCCAATGAATCAACAGCATCCTCAACGAATGACTTATCCAAGCAGGACTGGAACGCCGCAAGTATGCAAAAGTTTTTGTGCGGTGCAATCGTTTAATTCTGCACTGAAAAATGACAGCGGTTTTCCAATCAACATAAGCAGCAAGCTGGAGGCATTTCAACAACACAAACAACAACACAAACAACAACAACAAATACAACAACAAATACAACAACAACTTCAAATGCAACAACAACAGCGGCCACAACAACAACAACAGCGGCAAAGGGCACAACAAAACCAACAGTGTCAAAGTTCTCTGGCTTCTAGAGTGCGCGATCAGATGATGCAATGTCCATCCCAGAAGTTTAATCAAGTGCCAGCAGCACAGGAAGATGAATGTATTTGTTGCCCACCAGATTGTATTGATAATACTTCGCCGCGGGCTGATGGCAAAGCCAAACCAGCTCCGGTGAGCTCAGCAATCCCGAAACCTCAAATGGCGCCTTACAAGCCACAACAGAACAGGAAAAACATGACGGACATTCCACGATCACCGCCGGTCAGTGTACTAATTATGGGTGGCTCCAATTTGCCCACGTACTGTAATACGACGAGTTTTCGCGCACAACCATCGCATAGCTCGGAAATTTGTGTGCTGGAGTCGGACTTTACGCGAGAAGGAGCTGTCTTCCCAGACATTGATGAGCCCAATTATACAGTCTGTCGTGCGCCAGCCGAACCAACAAATGGGGAGAATGGACTTTCGGATAAGAACTCCACGGAAGTGTTACTTTTGGGCATAGCTCAGCCTGAGAAAAATCCATGTTTTGAGCGTACAGAAAACAACGGTCTTCCAGCAAAGCTGGCCCAGCCGGAAGTCCCACAGAAGTCAGATGCATCTGCGATCAGCAAGGAGCAGAGCACACGCTTGGATGAGCTTGAACAGCTATTGACCCAACAGCGGCAACTGCAGCAGACCATTCAGGCCAAATTAAATGAGCTACAGGGCAAGACAGCTCCGGCAACGCCTCGAATGAGTGCAGGCAACGCTACAAAGCCGAGAAGGGCGCCTCCTATTCGAACCGGCCCGAATCCAACACAGCGAATTCTATCAACAATGTCCAGCTACAAGACAAAGTGAGTGAGGGCGTAAATCGCACTGTTTAGAAGTGTCCCCAACTCAAATTTGTACACGAAATCATAGTTACCATAAAATTTACAAAAAAACAAACAAAAAAAATTCAATATATTTGACGAATTTTAAGTAAAAATTTAACCGTTGCAATGAGCCGTCGCTGTGTCGTCTGCGGCATGGAAATCGCTGAGGATGTCATTGATCACGAATGTCATTATCCCAAAAACATAAAGGAGGCGCGCATTTGGCAGCAGAGCATGGCCGCCTTCGAAACATCCGTGGAGAGTATACTGAAATGCTGCTGTGTCTGCATTGAGCACATACCACAATTTGTGGAACGTACTCAAAAGCAGGCAGCACTCATTAAGGACAAGTACGGGAAGGAGATCCATGAGACGCTGACACCAGGTCCTTGTCCGAGTCGTCCATCGCTCCATGTGCTACTCCTGCCGGGCGCCACGCTTCCACCTTACTGTGGCACGTGCATCGATCCTGAAAACGGAGAAGATCAAGCCGAGGAGGATGAAGAAATCTATGTACGAGAATCATGCTATAAGGATTGCGGTGCGAGTTTTCCCGACATTGATGAGACCCAAGTAACTGTGCTGCGCACACCCATGCACAATGACGAGGAGCTGAAGAAGCTGGAGAAAAGCAATAAGGAATGTGGGGACATTGGCACTTTGCGCAACTGCACGGATGTCTTACTGCTGGGCCGAAGTCAGAATCATCCCACCGATAAGTGTCCATGCAAATGCGAGCAATGTTCAAAGACAAAATTCGCACCGGTCGAACTACCCGGTTGTCCAGATCAATCGCCTTGCAGTGCTGAATGTGGTAGCCAGATGCGTCAAGAGTTGAGCGCAATAATCAAACAGCAGCAAGAGCGCATTTACGAACTGGAAAACTTGATTTCCCGCCAAGACGACTGGTATATGAGCCTGCAGCAAAAAATATCTGACCTGTATTCCGATTTCGGAAGCCGGGATAAAACGGTTAGTTTTGGGGTCAATGTTGGTGACAGCGTGCAAGGGAATGCCCAGCGGAGGCCAACAGATGTACAGTCTGAACAGGCAATTACTCCCAAAAGCCAAAAATCGAGTAAAAATAGTATCTTGAAGCCGGAATCGTCAAAGTGACAAGCTCTTAACCCTTTGTATTGTACAGATTACTAATAGTTTGATTGCACTTGAAGCAATTATTAAATTGAAATGTCTAATAATAGCTGGAAACGTTTGAAGATATCTCCAAGAGTTTTATTCGCTATTGCACGCCACGCAAAATCAACAACAAATCCTTAAACTTAGGCAGCGGTCTTAATGACATCTGTGTAGAGTTTCACTTTTGTGGCAATGCTCATGTCGACATACTTGTCGCCAATGGAGACAATTAGTCCACCTATAATGCTGGGATCCACGCGAGATGTTATCTTCAGCGTCTGGTTGGGCTTCAGGAAGGACTGAAATAAAAACAAACACAAAAACAGTTCAATTTGACAATCATTGTACAATTAATAGCTTCCACCTTGAGAGCGCCCTCCAGTTGCTTGTTTTGACCAGCATCCAGCGGCTTGGCGGAGACCACTTCGCAGACAACCTCGCCGCGGTGGGCAGCCATTATGGTCCTGAAGGCATTGATAACCGTATCCAGCTTCTTTAAGCGTCCATTGTTAGCCAAAAGACCCAACAAATTGGATGTGGCTGCTGCAAAGCTCAGCTGTGTGGAAGCCTCTTGCAGTGCAGTAGCCATTACTTTCTTATTGATGATGGGGCTGGTCACTTGTTCGTGCAGCTTCTTATCGCCTTTAATGGTAGACTGCAGAGCGATCAAATCCTTTTCCACCTTATCCAATTGGTTCATTTTCGTGGCAGCCGAATACAAAGCAGTGGCATAACGGCCCTCCAGTCCGAACAACTGGATTGGTGGCTTGACCACCTGCTGAGTAGCAGCGGAGCTGAGCGTGCGGCTCTGCAAGAATGAAATGTATATCGATATTATACATAAACGCTTTAAATCTTAATCAAACTGTGTTTATTGGTTAAAATTGCAAATTACATAACCAACAAATTCGCGTTAGATAATTGTTGTGTTTTGATATCATTGCTAGCACTTTACACAAACATTTCATATTTTACCGCTTTAGCAAATCTAAAAACAAGTAGATTTCATATATTTTTGTTAAAAACCTACCAAAAGAGCTAATTTGTTAACGGAGGCCATTATTACTTGCACAGAATTTTTCACCTAAAAATCGCAGCTGCGCCGTACAGGGTTGATTCGACTAAGCCTTGCTAGAGCTGCCACTGCGCCAATTCACTTACCAGGGTGGCATTAAATATTGCGATAGCCAAATATATCGCTGGAATACTCTCAATAATGCTATCGTTTTTTAGATTCACGTCTTTATTCGTATTTTAAAAAACTGATGTTTTGTAGATGGGTTTTCGGAAATACATATTGATTTTACTTATAACATAACTGTGTAACTGCCTAAAAATGTGTATTTGCAATTGTCACGCAACATTTGAAATAATGTTAGCGTCTTTATAATCCCGTCCCGACATAACCATACGGAAAATAATAGTTATAAGTGGTTAGCACATTGGGAAATCAGTTAAAATATTCAAACTGCGCACATATTGATTGAAGGTTTTACTTGTCATCTGCAATATAAAAAAGAAACCATGATAGACGACTCTTAAAATATAATGCCAGGTTAAGCTAACCTTCATCGTCGAGGTCTTCATCGCCCTCATCTTCTCCATCATCATCCTCAAATGTTTCTTCTTCGTTGTCATCGTTTTCATCTTCTTCTTCGGGTTCCACCTCAATATCAGGTACGAGATAATACTGCAGTGGATTTGGCCAAAGATCATCCTTTATCAGTTCAGCAATCTCGTCGTTGACGGGGTCAGCATTGTCCGAAAACCAATCAAAGAATGTCTTATAATCGGAATTCCTTTTCTTCTTGTTGCCATAAGGTTTTGTTAGCAACTGTTTAAGTAAATTCTTCCCTTCCTTCCATTGAATGGGCGTGCTAGTTGACGCGGGCCAATCACCATTCTCGGAGGCAGCTAAATGATTTTAATATATTACTAGGATATGGAAATAACAGTATATTTTCAAGAGCACTTACCCGCTGAATTCAAATGAAACTCTTTGGTGAGAATCTTGTTTTCAAAATATGGATTTTCATCGAAGTGGAAATTTATGCGGTATCCAGATTTTATGTCTTCGAATTCCTCAACCTCCAGTTTGTTTAGCGCATGCAGACACTCTTCCTCTTCTTCGTCCAGAATACCTGATACTTGCGGGTGGTTGATGAACTACAAAATGGAACTCAAATTAGCGCTTTACCACATAATCGAAGGCAACTGGGAGTAAAAACTAAAAACTAGACAATCTGAGTGATGCATCCGCATTTGTGTAATCGATACACAACAGCGCCGTGTACAAAGTTTAAACATGTAATTATTATTAAATCATCGCTGTTAGTAAATCACCAAAATGAACATGTTAAAATACATTTTTAAAAAGCCGATTAATTCTATTATATGGTGTAAAGCTTTGCGCCTGCAGCGCAGACATTTATCGATACATTGGCATTCACATGCACACGAGCGCACACACATACACAGACAAAAAAGAGCGGTGCGACCGGTGGCGGCGGCATGCATAGAAGACTAAGATGAAAAAGAACAAACGGAAAAAGTTCCTCGAATAGAGAAATTTTTCATGCACATGTAGTAGAGACACAAAATCAATTAATGTTTTTTTGATTTAACAATGCTGTGCAAGCATTTCCGCCAATTGAAAAACGTCTTTACATAGATATTTAAAAGTTACACATGCTAAACATGCAAATCATGTCCACAGATAAAGATGCCCGGTTTTCTACATATATGAATATACTCACAGAAGTCACCCAGAAGTTGGGGATCCGTTTGACGAGCTCGCTCCGTTTTTCGTAGCAGGGTTTACGTAGTTTGTTATATTTCTGCTCTACTTTTAGTATCTCCTCGCTGGCTTTCTCGTTTAACGCGTCAATCTCGTTTTGACAGGCATCGATTTGTTCCAGCGCCTCCGACTCTTCCTCGTTGGGACCGGCAGATGTATTTCCATCCCCGACAGCATCCAACTTCTGTCTCTTTGGCACGCTCGACATGATGCTGGCTTTGTTTTAAATAGAGCGGCGATTAAGATAAAAGGTTAGCTTGATGATGTTATTGCAAATGGCAATTAGTTTATCTAGTACAGTTGAGCAGAAGCTGAATTAATAGACACTTTATGCGCGCCGTTCACTGCGTTTGCGAATTCTGCTCTGAGTGTGGCCGAATATTGCAATCGCAAATATACAGTCCATCAGGGTTGCATATTGATTATTTAGCAAACGACTATCGACCTATGGAAGCATTTGTTATTATAATTTGTTGCTATTGCTTTGCTTGAAACGTTGGCTTAATTTCAATTAAAGTTAGGATTTCAATGTCATCCATAACGATTTAAACGAATAAAATATTTCTTTAAGAAAGTGGAACTGGTTCCGGTACCAAAAGAATTTGGTTAGCTTCTGGCGATTAACAACACTCAAAAGATTACAAGGCATTTTCGGTCCTTTACAACACGCGCGGACAATATTTAATGTCGAGGTGTAAACGAGCTGGCCAATTCATTTTTTAATTTTATATAAAAAGCGTTTTTAAAAATATTAAAAACATGGCCACGGCTGAAGCTCAAGTCAATGTGAACACAAATTTGCAAAAGCAGGACCTTAGCAATTTGGTGAGTGTGCAAGAATATGCGCCGAAAATATCACCTCCGAAACGATGGCAATGTACGCGTCTTCGCCGTCTGTTTAGACGCTGCATCTTAAAACAACGGGGCGCGTTGTCACAAAGCGGCCATTTCTATATGAAAAAGTGAATTCATTGTTTTTAAAAATAAATAAAATGCATTTAACAAACTTCGCCATGGATAACAACGTATTTACCAAAATCTATGTTGTTACTCGTTGGCCGTGCGAAGCGACCTCAAAAGAATGCAGCACGTGGCGTTAGCTGCTATGTTTGGCCAGCAATGTCGGGCTTTTCCGCTTTACGCACTATTTGGCATATGTTTTCAATATGTTTGGAAATGTGAGCGGAGTGAAATGCAATTGATAAATGCGGCTCAACTGTTGCTACAATATCTGATGCAATACACAGTTGATTCTAACCTCAAAATGTACGGCTTTTTGTACGCACACTCATGCCACAAAAATGCGAATGTATGCTTCTGTGTGTGCGTGTTGTGTGTACACTTGTGTTCGTCTTAGGGGGTTTTTGGGCGTGTTTTTACGAAAGCTCGAAAGTGTTAGTTCGAAAGCCGCAATAGATAATCGACTTAGCTTTAATATTTCATATTTGTATATTTTCCTTGCAGGAAATCAGCAATTTGACGCCCCTGTCGCCCGAGGTGATCTCGCGCCAAGCTACCATCAACATTGGCACAATCGGCCATGTAGCGCACGGCAAATCCACGGTTGTCAAAGCCATCTCCGGCGTGCAGACTGTCCGCTTTAAAAATGAATTGGAACGAAACATTACAATTAAGCTCGGTGAGTGACTTTTTAACTGCTTCAACAAGGCTGGAATGAGACTCACTTTTGCATTAATTAAAAAAATTTAAATAAAAATAAAAAGCGAATATTTCTAATATATGAATATATTTTTTTGCTTAAGAGTGTCATTTGAGTCTGCTCATTGTCATTGTCATTATAAGTTTAACAAATAGGCTTGTTGCTTTAGGCAAAGATTATTCCATTTTATAATCAATAAAACTTCAATTTTCCTTGCTGTATCAATTAAAAATTACTAAACAAACCTAACAAAATGCTGACGACGGCACAACGCGCACAACCAAAAGGCCTGTTCCAGTTTTCATTTCCGCGAAGAAAATTGAGAAAGTGACTTTCGTGAATTTTGCTCATTTTTGCATTTATTCTTTTTCCAAAGAATTTAAATTGAATTACATTTTTGTCTTATGTAAAAGAAACAATTATAGTTCCGGCATTTTAAATTCGTTATACAAAATCGTTTTTCTTACAACAATAAATATAATATCTGCTGTTAAATGATTTGCAATTTAATCTATTAATATACACATTTTTTAAAATATATAAATACCATATATTAAATTTGTAAGCTCTATGTAACATGTTCGGCCTTAGAATGTGAAACTCGGAACTTGTCACGAAAGAATTTAATTATATATTCTAAGTTTTGTTTCTTTTCTCATATTTTAATATTATTTAATTTTTTTTTTTGTACACAACGCGTAGTCTTAAGTTTCGTATTGTTTTGGATCAATGTTCTGAGCGTTCTGTAAATGATTGAAAGATAATTAAAATAATGACTTAAATTGCTGGATTAGTCCCCCAACAAATACAACACACGCACTGTGTCGTCGCATTAGTAGTTTGGATTTGCTCATTAACTGTCACTATTCGTAAAAATAAAGTAAATATTACAGTTTTCTCTCTATATATACTACTTGGTATTCACAATTTGTTTCTCTTGTTTGCGTTAGATTTGTTAGTTTCTTAGAGCTTTGCAAAAATTTAATTTCTTTGATTTCGATAATCCAGCAATTTAATTAATTCAGTCCATTTTTTTCTTCTTTTTTCGTTTTTCGTTTGCCCAACGACGCGCGTTAAATAAAAAAAACCAAACAACCAAAAAAAAAAAAAAACCAAACCAAAATGTCATTTGCAGAACGCTTAAGCGAAACGAAAATCCAAAAACTTTTGCACTCCAAGCAGCACCGCAATGCATACGATCGAAAGCAGCGACAGCTGCTCAATCGCCGGCGACAACGCACCGGGAATAACCGACTGGAGGTATCCCATAATCATTTATTTGCGCAATATACGCGGACTAGGCGCAGCTTCAGCCAAAGCTCGCTGAGTCCCAGTCACAGCAGCGGATATGGCAGCGTTTTGGGCTGTGACGAACAGGATGCTGCACCGCCCCCGCCCCGCCCCACAAATATACTAAAGCGACGACGTAGTTCCAGAAGCAGCTACCAAGATGTGGAGCAATCGCCCGCTTTGAAGCGCACCAAGGATAACAGCGGTCAGCCCTTTAAGAAGCCAAAGGGCGAGTATATTGTGGAGAGCATTGAACGTGTTGAGGTGCTGCACTATGAGCCCGTTTTCTATGTCAAATGGCTGGGCTATGACAGCAGCAAGAACACCTGGGAAGATTTCATCAATTTGGCCGACTGTGTGCAGCTGGAGGATTTCGTGGAGCGCCAGACGCTTTTTTACGCGGCTCACATAACACAAATCAGCAGGGAACTGGAGGTACAGCTGGCCGAAACGGCTCCACTGGATATGAGCAGTATTAGCATGAAGGACGATGTGGATAATTATGAGTCGTTGCCACTGAATTTGGATCTGATATTGTTGGCACAGTATCGTGCGGCGGGCAGTCGCAGTCAGCGCGAGCCCCAGCGCATTGGAGAACGTGCACTGCGACGCCTTCAGCTGCAGCGCTGTCATTATGCACGCCGTAAGCAGTTGCAGGCGCTGGCTCAGTTTGAGAAGCGCATGAACGCCGTGGAGCTGCCGGCACCGCCCATACGTGTCCAGAACGATGTCGACCTGGACATCATCGATGCGAGTTTCGTTTATATTCAGAAGAACATATTGAGCGATGGTGTACCGCGTCCGGAGGCATCAGTTTTGGGCTGTAACTGTAAGGAGCAGCCGGGCATGGAGGAATGCAGCGCCATGAGCCGCTGCTGCGGCCGTCTCGCCGGCGAGCTGTATGCCTACGAGCGTACCACGCGACGCTTGCGCCTGCCACAGGGCAGCGCCATTTTCGAGTGCAATAGTCGCTGCTGTTGTGATGCCAGCTGCACAAATCGCCTGGTCCAAAACGGACGCAAGCATCCGCTGGAGCTGTTCAAGACGAGCAACGGACGCGGCTGGGGTGTACGCACACCCCATTCCCTGCGCAAGGGGGAGTTCGTATGCGAATATGTGGGCGAGATCATCACCAGCGATGAGGCCAATGAGCGTGGCAAGGCCTACGACGATAAGGGACGCACATATCTCTTTGATCTGGACTACAATACGGCTGCTGAGAGCGAATATACCATCGATGCGGCCAACTATGGCAATGTCTCGCATTTTATCAATCACTCGTGCGATCCCAATTTGGCCGTATTCCCCTGCTGGATCGAGCACCTAAACATGGCTCTGCCCCATTTAGTATTCTTCACACTGCGCTACATCAAGGCCGGCGAAGAGCTCAGCTTTGATTATATACGCGCCGACAACGAGGATGTGCCCTATGAGAATCTATCGACAGCTGTGCGCGTCGAATGCCGCTGTGGCGCCGCCAATTGCCGCAAAGTGCTCTTCTAGATGCAGCTTCCGAATATTCGATGAACAAATTAATTGCTACACCTTAATACAAATATATACACACATATATCTATATGCATATATATATATATATATATAAGAATTTAGCGCTTAAGTTTATTTGACGGATTCACTTGAAAAACAATTGACATCATTATGAAAAACGATTTAGTTGCATTTATCAAATTATTTATTGTTAATTATGTTCTGCTTAAACATTTAATGCATTTATTTTTAAAGTGTTTTTCAAGTTAAATATATATACTTTTTTTTTTTATATTATTGAAGCATTGTGCAAATTGCGCACTGAATTTGTACTCACTTATTTTACGCACCGTTAATATATATACATATATATATATATATTTTTAATGCATTTTATGGACTGTGTCATAAAATATGCACGACTTTATAACTATGTATTACTTTCAAGTTTACGACAAAATCTAAAATAAAATATTGCATAATTAAATGCGAACTTTATATAGTAAATTAGGGCAATTCGATCTGGGAATGTAAATTAAAAGCAAAACAAACCGTATACTTTTTTTTAAATTTATTTTTTCATATTTAAAAAAAAAATAGATTGAATTTTATTGAATATGAACACTAATAAAAGTTAATAGTTTAATAGATTTCCAGATTCCTCCACAAAACTATCACTTTTATATTTTTATTATATTTTGTGCCGTCGTTTGAAAATGGATGAGATTAAATTTCATGTTGTTAGTCTGTATTAATTTTAATAATAACAATTAATATTGCCTGGTTTTAATTTGTTGCTAACCAAGAAGTCTTGTTCCCAAATTAATTTAGGATATGCCAACGCAAAAATCTACAAGTGCGACAACCCCAAGTGCCCGCGCCCGGCCAGCTTTGTATCGGACGGCTCCAGCAAGGATGACAGCATGCCATGTGCGCGTCTCGCCTGCTCCGGTCGCTTCAGATTGGTGCGTCATGTGAGTTTTGTCGATTGCCCCGGTCACGACATTCTTATGGCCACCATGTTGAACGGCGCCGCTGTGATGGACGCTGCACTGCTCCTAATCGCTGGTAAGTGAATATGTTGTAGACTCCGGAAATTTTTAGTTTTTCTAATATTTAATTGTTCTCCCCTTAAAAAGGTAATGAATCTTGTCCGCAGCCACAAACCTCGGAACATTTGGCGGCCATTGAGATCATGAAACTGAAACAGATTTTGATATTGCAAAATAAAATCGATTTGGTCAAGGAGAGCCAGGCCAAAGAGCAATACGAAGAGATCACAAAGTTTGTACAGGGCACTGTCGCCGAGGGTGCACCGATAATTCCAATTTCGGCCCAGCTGAAGTACAACATTGACGTGCTCTGCGAGTACATTGTTAACAAGATTCCTGTGCCGCAGCGTGACTTTAAGGCGCCGCCCCGTCTCATTGTTATACGATCCTTCGATGTAAACAAACCTGGCTGTGAGGTGCAGGATCTCAAGGGCGGCGTTGCTGGCGGCTCCATATTGAGCGGTGTGCTCAAGGTCGGCCAGGAGATTGAGGTGCGTCCCGGTGTCGTGACCAAGGACAGCGATGGCAACATCACCTGCCGTCCCATCTTCTCGCGCATCGTGTCGCTGTTTGCCGAACAAAATGAGCTGCAGTATGCAGTGCCCGGTGGCTTGATCGGTGTGGGCACCAAAATTGATCCCACGCTATGCCGTGCCGATCGACTGGTCGGTCAGGTGCTTGGCGCCGTTGGCAATTTACCGGACATTTACATCGAGCTGGAAATTTCATATTACCTGCTGCGTCGACTGCTCGGTGTGCGCACCGATGGCGACAAGAAGGGCGCACGTGTGGAGAAGCTGCAACGTAATGAAATTTTGCTGGTTAATATTGGATCGCTCAGCACTGGCGGTCGCATCTCTGCCACCAAGGGGGATCTGGCCAAGATTGTGCTCACAACGCCCGTTTGCACGGAGAAGGGCGAGAAGATTGCACTCAGCAGACGCGTGGAAAACCATTGGCGGTAAGTGTGAAAATTCGCTGCAAACGGGAAAATCCTTTATTAAAACTGTCTTTTCTCCGCTTGCAGTTTAATTGGCTGGGGACAGATCTTTGGCGGCAAGACAATTACGCCCGTACTAGATAGTCAGCCAGCGAAGAAGTAAATAGACCAGCACGACCAGCTACCAGACCCGCTCCGAATTCATATTCAATTTAAGCGTTTCAAGTGTGTGTGTGTGTGAGTGTGTATACACAAGATCGCAAACGATTCTTTGATTCGTTCGACCTATTTGCTGATTTTGTCCATCTTCGCTGAACATCTCCGTCTCTCCATCTTTAAAATCCCGCGTCGTCGTCCTCCTTCACGTCCGTTGATAGCAAAAAATAACAAACAAACCAACAAACAAACAAAATACGAAATAGAAAACAAAAACAACTGAAAACTGATGCATACATACCTTAAATTATTGAATTTTGTATGTATATAAACGATTATTGCTGAGAAATGTTATGCGTATATAGCATAAATCCGAGCATTACAAGAAACTAATAGGTTATACCATACATATTATATAAAAACAAAACAAATCTGATACATCGTAAAATTGTTTTTATGATTTAAATACAAAAAGAAAGTATAAAATGGTATGCATTTTTACAATTAAAAACTAAACAATGTTTTCGTTTTTATTTCCTGGGGTAGACTAGGTCCTGCAAAAAAGGAAACAACTCTTTTTGGAAATTTCTATATATAGTTTTAATAACGAGCTATCAACATTATAATCAACTTTTCTTTATAGATTCTTTTATTTGTTTAAGCATTATTATTACAACTCTCACATTTTAAAACATGATCATTTATTATTTGTTAAATTACACATTTTGAAACATTTATTAATTTATGTATCGTTTTTAATTTTTTTTTTTTTTTTACCTAGCGCACACTAATTTGTCTGTAAACTACTATTTATGGTTTTTGTTTTTTGTTGTTGTTATTATTTTTTCGGATTACTGAAATAATTTCAATATTAATTAGCTTAATTAATAAAAATTCGTACTTAGTCGCGATTTATTTAATTGCTGGAAACATTTAATTTAATACTATTGAGATTGAGTAATTTTAATTGTAACACTTTTTCAAATACCTCCTAACTTGCGTTGTGATCGGTACACTTTGAGCATTTGAAAACTGAGCTTTTGTTTTTCGTTGAACACATTTTAAACGAATTCAAATCTATATGTTTATATTGTATAATTCATATCTATCAATTTGAGCGACGTTTGAACACAATTAAGTATAAGCTGGCTTCACCGGAATGCATAGTCTAAAGAACGGAAACTAAGAAATTTCCGCTCAAATCTTTCAGTGGTGCATTCCATATAAGTAAAATTACTTATTTGGATCTAAGCTCGTTTACAACAAAAGAACTTTAACAATATAACCTTAAAATGTGCTTAAAAATAAGCAATAATTTAAAAGCATGTTAAATAATAGTTACAAGTTATTTGATATTTGCATTTCTTTGTGTTTGTCTTTGTCTTTGTCTTTGATTTCCCTACCTGAAGCTTTGCCTATTTTCGCAATTCTTCAGTTATAATATTAATATTATCATTTGAAAATGTTTGAAAAAAAAAAACAAACAAAATTCTTGTGTTAATAGTGTAATTATGTCGTTTAGACTTCAATATGTAATGCATTTCTTACAAGATAAAAATGCGGGACTCACGAGAAATGTGTCCATTATGTGTACAACAATATTTTTTGTTTTGAATATTTTTCATAAGTCTGCATGGTATTATCAATAGATATTCCTAATAAATAATATATAATACAATGAACGTAAAACACAATTAGAAGAATACTATTTTATAGATACCATTTAACAAGTACATTATTACATTATTCCTTGAACAAGAAATCAATCTAATAATAGATATATTTATATAGATTCACTTACATACATTGAACACCTTAAAGTGCTGTTGGTTATCCTTGCGTATACTTAATATATAACACATACATTTATTTGCATTTTTCCAACTTATTCTTGCTTACTTGAGCTCTTATAATAGAGATTCATTGGGTATTGACATTTACATTTAGAATGGGAGTGTGAGTGTATGCAGTATTCATGAATGTTTATTCACTTTTGTGTGCCGAGGGAAAATGACAGTAACTTGGTCAGCTTACATTTAAAGAAAATGTTGTTAGATATTATACATACATATATAATACATATTCATTGACAGTTAACATTGGCAAAATTGGATTTAGTTTTTTTTAATTTTTGTTTTGATATCAACTGGATACCCACACATACACATATATCCATATAAAGATCAAGTTTCTTATGAAGTCTGTCTACTTAATTTATGTGTTTCGTTTTTGCTATTCGCTTTTTTTTTAACATATCATCTTGTAACAATTTTGAGCTTTTCTCTAACGGTTTCAATAATTTTTGCAACTCTATTATAATACAATTTTAAATACTTACATAGTTACAAATATACATAGACTTGTGCAGAAATAAGCTAATTTTACATTCCAATGCTGGGTATCATAGCTACATATATATATCTATATATATAATCATGTTGTTTGAGCAATTTGAAAGTACATATATATTATAAGTATATAGCTAATTTTAGAACATAATCTTTTACAAATATATTTAGTATTCTTTTCATTGGGGTTTTATCTAGTTGTTTGTATATGCCATTTGGGTTGGATATTGAATTAGAAGCCTGCGTTTTCTTTAGGATGCACATTTTGGCATTTGGATTTGGGTGTGGCATCTTAAAGAAAATGGCTCAAATCTCATTCGTTGACATCCTCATCCGATGAACTGGCCGCGGGTATCGTCGAGAATTGCCACGCCTCGCGATTGTTGTTTTTGCTGACACTACAAAATATATGAATTAATATGTTTTCAACATATAAATAGTTTTATATCGTATAAATATACCCATGCTTTTTGGCATTGCTAGGCAGCGTGTGCGAGCTGCGATAATAGCTATCGTGTGGCTCCTCTTTGGTCTCCTCCAGAGATTTGCGCTGCAGCGTCATGGTCTCTTGCGGCGTTAGCGCATTGCCCCCGCCACCGCTCAGCTCCGCGTTCAGATAATATTTGGCACTCTGTGCGATCTTGCAGTTCTCGCATTCGCTTAGATAGTCGTCGTCCAGGCTAGTGTCGTTGGGCAAGAAATGCTCGTTAGGATTCAAACAGTTCTTCGATGTGGTGCACACAGGCAGCTGTTTGCTGGGCGTGCCACTGCGTCCACTCTGCACCTTGGCCACCAGCTGCGGATAGCTGGGCATCTGGCAATGGGCAATGGCCAAACTGCTGCTAGTCGCTGCCGTTGCGCCTGTGCTCGCCGCTGAGCTCCTTTCGCTGTCGCGTTTTACGCGCAGTATCTTTGGCAGTGTGGTGCTTTTACCAGTCGTCGTCGGCTTCTCATTGTTGTTCTCCAGCGGCGGTATGCTGATCACCGATGGCACTTTGCTGACCACGCTGTTGATGGTGCTGTTCAGCGAGATCTTGCCGCTAATGTGCTTGGGCAGCGTATAGGTCACATGATTGTTGGCCAGCGGATAAAATGTGCTCGAGTTGATCTTGCTGTTCGTCTTCTCGCCGCAGCTGGACGAGGGACTGGTCGGCGGCAGCGTTAACGTTGGCGTTTGCTCCTTCCTCTGATACACGCTACTATTTGTCGATTTGCTTAGCGTATAAATGGTGGCCACCGCATTGTTGTTGCCCCCGCTGCCGCTGCTGCAGCTGCTGGTGGCAGTTGTTGTTGTTGTTGTCGCTGTTTTTAAATTCGTTAGGCTTTTGTAGAGTTTCGGTGGTAAAGTTGGATTGCTTTGATCGTTGATCGAGCTGTGCTGCTGCTGCTGCTGTTGATGTTGTTGTTGTTGTTCTTGCTGGTTATAAAAATGTTGCTGCTGTTTCTGCGTTAGATTCAAGTAGGCATCAACCTGCAAGGATTGCCAACAAGATTAGCAAAAACACAAAGGCAAATAAATATATTATAAATTTTTGTTACGGAGCATGAAACCATAAAAATTGTAAAGGAAAAGTTAAAGTGTTTCATTAAAATATTTAGAATAAAATAACAAGGCAAAGTTTAAGCCAAATCCTGGCACAATGGATATGCAAAAGCAGAAATGGTTTATCGGCTGCAAATTGGCTCAGACCGTGAACCGAAGATTCCGAGAATTTTCTCCTTTGGGTACAGGGTATCCCGAAGTCGGGCACTCGCTACCAAACCACTCATATTTTATTTATGTATTTATATATATGTAAGTAAAATCAACAAATTCCTCTTCTGACCAATCTAAGGACTATATTATCAACTAAATGAATAAGGAAAATGAATAATCTGTATGAATAACAGACTTTTGGTTTCATTTTCCCGTTTTTCGGCAAATATGTCTCTGTGCTAGTCATTAACTAAAGAGCTGACTAATTCGAAACTGTTTGGGTAATTTTTGGCCTTAATACGAATAATAGAATTTCCGAAGTTAAGCATTCGCAATGGGATTACTTACATTTCGAACTCACCTTTCGATTCAAATAGGCGCTGGAGAGCACATCGACGCCGGTCTGGGTAGCAGCAGCCGCTCCACTGCTGGATGCACTGCGTGCGCCCCCGCTGCTGCTCCGTGTACGTTCGGCAGAGCTGCTCGAGCTGCTGGAACGCTTCTGTACACGGCCGAGCACAATTGGCGGCGCGCTGACATCCTCGTGATGCGGCAGCGGCGGCGGCGGTATTATAGACGAGACACTGCTCGACGTGTGCGAAGGATGTGGCTGCAGCTCATCGCCCACCTGCTTCGAAATGGTGGCAATTTTTGGCTCCTGAGCGCTGGAATTTCGCGTACCGCTGCCAATCAGAAGCTCCTGGCCGTACTGCTGCTGCTGCAGACTAGTTGTAGACTTGGCGCGTTGGCCATAGGCCAGCGTGGCGGAGTGCCGTGTGCTGGCGCTGGGTGACAGGGCGCACGCATTGCTGCCAGTTGAGGCAAACAGTTTGCCGGCGCCGTTGAGAAATGCATTTGCATTGGCATTGGCATTGCTGCCCATATAGGACATGGGCACATGCTGTATGGGGCACTGGCACATGGGCTTCTTTGTCGCCTTGTCCGTGGAGCTGGAGCTGGCGCTGCCGCTGGAGCTGGAACTGGACTTTGGCTTGACGGTGACCACCTGCAGTGGATCAGCCATGGCAAAATAGCGCGGTATGGTGCGATGATAGCGACGCGAACTGGAGGGCGTTTTGCTGCCCTGCTGCTGCTGCTGCTGCTGCTGAGGCAGAGGCAGCGTTTGAGTAACCGAATCAGCTTTGCCGCTGCTGCTCGATGTGGCTGCTGTGGTTATGGTCGCTATTTCCATTGGCGGCAGCATGTCTATGGCGGTTGTGGACAATGCTGCTGCCAGCAATTGTTGCTGCTGCTGCTGCTGCTGATGTTGCTGCTGCAGCTGTGTAAGATGGTGTGTGGGCGTGGCCAGCATCTCGCTTGTGGCGGGCAATGAATGATAGCTGGCGGCACTGGCACTCGCATTGATCTCCACGTCGGCTACAGTGAGATATTGCTGCTGCTGCTGCTGCTGTGGCTGTTGCTGGTGCAGCAGCTCTTGTGAGCCGCGCGGCGTGCGACGTGCCGCTGCATAGGCCAGGGAGCTGGAAGCGCTGCCAGTTGTGGCAGCGGTGGTTACACTGGCGCTTATATTTAGATGGCAATTCTTATAGCTGCACTCGCTGCTAACAGTGGGCTTGGGCGTGGGCAGGGTCTGCACACAAATCGAATTGTTGGCCGCCGGCGCCGGCCCCGACAATTGCTGCAGTTGCTGCTGATGCTGCTGCTCCAGGCTGAGCTGATGTTGCTGCTGCTGCTGCAGCTGTTGCTGTTGCTGTTGCTGCAGCTGGTGCTGCTGCTGCTGTTGCAACTGTTGCTGTTGCTGCTGCAGCTGATGCTGCTGCTGCTCGCTTTGTAAGCTGTAAGGCGGCTGATGATTCTCGCCAGTGGCAATTGTGGTGACGCCGCCGCTATTGATATTTATATTGATCAGATTTGTAGTACTCTGTGTGTACTGATTGGATTGTGCAGCAGCTGCCGCCGCAGCAGCGGCGCTCAATTGATGTGCGTGCGGATGCGACGCAGTTACAGGCACCATCTGCTGGGCATATGCATGTGGATGTGGATGCTGCTGTGGTTGTGTGTGCAATTGTAGCGTGTGTTGTTGTAAATGCTGCTGTTGCAATTGCTGCTGCTGCTGCTGCTGCAATTGTTGCTGCTGCTGCTGCTGTTGGTGTTGCTGCTGTAGCTGCTGCTGCTGCTGGCTGACGCTGGCCAGAGCCTGGCGCTGGACATGGCTGGGCAGTGTGACGGTGCACTGAGCGCTTAACGCCTCCGCCTGAGATATGGCCACGGCTTCCTCATAGGGCGGCGGTGCCTCTCCACGCGGAAAATAGCCGCTTGGTGGCTTCCAGAGTGGATAATGGGTGGTGGCGCCGCCATACGAATAATCAATTGCACTCAGATTGCCCTCCATGTAGCCCATGTTGCCGGCAATATAGCTGAAAAGTCATGCCAATTTAGATAGGGACGTTTTGAAATGCTTTAACTTGAAACTCACCCAATGCTGCCCACAATGCTGCGCTGATCCTCCGTATTCTGGCGGTTCTCGCGTGCCCGCATCTTACGCTGTCGCAAACGATTGACCAGGAAGAAGAGCAAAGACAAGGACAGCGTGGCTGTAATGCCACTGGCCACCAGTCAAATGCCAAAGTCGGTGCTGCCATCGCTGAACTGATCGTCCAGGCAGATGACCTCGCAGCAATTGTTGCCGCTGCCGACAGTTTGAAAGGACTTACATTTACTGAACGCCTCGCACAACACCATTTTGCACGCCTTGGGCAGCCCGCTGTCGCAGATGCACAGACGACACGAGTCCGGTCCGGGCATATAATGCATGCCCGTCTCATACAGTTTGCCATTGTAATCCCGACAATGGCCGCCCGGGATAAGGCTAGAGCTCACCGCGTTGCTATCTAAAGTGCAAAAAATAACAGATCGAAAGCTAATTTTAATTTACGAAATAAATAATATATATATATATTTATTGATTGTCAAGAAATGGGAAATTATGTATTAAATTTACTTTAATACATTTTTATTGATAAATGGGGAATTTGGCTGATGTTAGATTAGAATACGGAGTGTATTTTCTCAGAGATTTTGTGAGTTAAACGGGATTTTAACTTTCTTGACCGTCTAATGTACGTATGGAATAAAGTGAGCTGTAAAGGCTTCTGTTTTATAAAGATTCAGTTACTCGGTATGTGGATAGTCCAGTGGAACATATGGTAAGATATCTAGACTTAGGCATACTACTTCTTAAAATGTATAATAATACTCTATAGAATTGATTCGATTCTTTTTTACTTTGTAAACAACATGAATGCAGTATATCAATTTATAGATAAAAGATGTTTTAAACATATTTTCCCTGTTTCAATTGTGAATTGAAGATTGCAAAGATGTATAGAAACATATAAGCAATAGTTAGTATATTTAAGCTTTGATATGGCATTTCTTATTTATGGAAAGTTCTAGTTTCTAGTGTTTGCAGATTTCGTCAAAAGCAATATGAATTAGTACTTTGAATAAATTGTATTATAACATTTAAGAGACTTGAATTTTATATATTTTAAATGTTTTATTTATCAATTTTAGATAAATATTATAATAAATAAAAAAAAGTTTAAATTAACGTAAAACCTTTTTTAAAAAAAAAAAAACAAAGTTATAAGTTATAATTAGGTTCAAATAGAGTTTTAGCTAAAAATGCACACATTAAAATGTATATATGTATGTGTGTGTTCCCGAACAACTGTACGATTCTTTATTTTGACACACTTGACCAAGTTTCGCTTCGCTGCTGATTTAACAGTTACCGTTATTCGTTCAAATGCGAATATTAAGACACAATCACACACATACACAAAACGCAGCAGGTGCTGTGCCCCCCTTTCGCAATTCACCCACATATATAGATACATATATATATACATATATGCATATCCACATACATAGCCAGCCATAGCATTTATCACTGGAATGAAATTAAATGCAAACGCATTACATTTTCAACATAATTTAAATGCTAAACAGCAAAAGGAAATTCAAATTAAAAACAAATATATCCAGCATTTGCTCTGCGGCAGGGTGGTTAACAACGGAGAGGTTGGTGGGGGGCTGCATAACATGCACTGGCACAGCCGACACGAACCACAAAACACGAGTGCGAACGGCTGGGCAGGAAACACACGAACGAAAATGGCAAACAGTGTGCCTTGCGCCCCCGCAAAAGGAAAAAATTGCTGCGAGTTTCCAAGTGAAATTTTTGCAACTCACATACACACACACCCAATTCAGCCCCACACGTACACACCCAAACACATGGCAGAGTATACATACATGCAACAACAAGCACACACGGCACACCACCCAACGGCCACCCACATATACACAGACTGAGAGCAAGCGAAAGAGACAGAGGGAGAGAGAAAGTAAGAGCGGAATGGGCAGCAGCACTAACGCAAAATTTTGCACGCCACTTCCTTCGCAGCGCCCAGTGGAAAAGCTTTATGCCCCTTTTTGCAGGAGTTGCTGCCTGCTGGCTGGCTGAGAAAAAGAGCGCAGCGCAAGTGTATGTGTATATGTATGTATATGTATACGTGTGCCCCGTGTCCCATAAATTGTGAAACTCTGCTGTGGCCATGGACCATATTACAGTTATTGTAGATAGAGAACATCAATTGAAAATTGATTTTGGATAGAAAAATGATTGCATTGCCCTTTGAAGTTCTCATTTAATACATATTTGTATCATATGCATTTCAACTATATGGCTTAAAATAATGATGAAAAAAATATACATTATTACTGCCCTGCTCTCTTTAGCACAGCAAGGATATGGCTTTATGCTTGTGTGTGTATAAAGTTTTTCAGTTTTCACTATATCCTTTTACCTTTGGCATTTCCAATAAACGCAAGCACTGCCAAAAAATACATTTTGCTGGCGTTAATTTCCACTTTCAACTGCACAATTTACTATTAGTTATTAGTTACACAGTTTTTATTTGATATTTTCAACGGTTTTTACGAAGGTTCGAGCAATACCAACTAGTGCTAAAATTTATCTGTGTGACCGTTTACGGTAACATGAAAGTACCCAAAGTGTATTTGTAACTGAACTGAAATACTAAAAATACCAATTTCAACGTAAGAAGTAAAGGAAGTGACGTTACATTTTGTTGGTCGGAGGACGTTAACGTAAGCGAATGCATCTAAAAGTATGCTATATAGAATGATAAAACGAATGAATAAGGATATATATATTGCTTTTACTCACTGACTGGTAAGTAAAGATTTTTAGGGTGATGTCTTAAGTTTCATCTAATCTGCTTAAAACTCATGTTTAAATTACTACATGAAAATGTTATGAATACGTGTTTTAGCTATTTTGAAAATTCCAACCACAACTTCAAACATTTTTTTAATGATCTTTATAAAATAGTATTTCGCAAAATCCAACGGTCTTGGGTGGAAAATGCTCCAAGCTTCTTACCACAAGACTAACATGGGTCGTGTATTCGATGGACTTATTTATTTTAAAAATTTCTTTTAAAATGCCTGTATTTATATATATATTTCTATTTATGTTAATATATTTTTATGCACGTAAAAGAACATTAAATTTTAAAATAATCACTTAGAGAGTTCATAAGGCCTACTGATTTTATTGACTACATTCTCTAACATTTAGGCAAATCAGACACCTCGCTACAAGAGAGAGAGAGAGAGGGAGAGAGAGAGAAAACACGAAAAACACAAACCTGAAAATGTAAAGGCCATCATTAGCAATCCTGCTCCCACTGTTCAACGGACTCAGCAACTTTTGTCAGCAACATGTTGAAAACATACGATAGTCAACATTATGCCGGAATGTTCTTCAACCCACATAAAACACATTAAGCTCTAACAAAAATTCGTATTTAATTATGTATATCTCAACTTGAAACCGAAACATATGTATGTTGGAAATGCATTATTTATATTAATTGTTCTATGGTTCTAATGCATGGATAAACACTGCGCCGCTACCAAAGAACAAATAACAATTTAACCGGAAATCAGAGACTATATCAAGATAAAATATACACATACATATGTGCACACTTATGTAAGTGATATACCTGCTGTATAAGGCTACAGAGTAAAAATAAATTGTAAATAGGTATATCTCGTAATTGAATTTCATGCAAAATGCATTGTGTTCATTAATTTTGCAAAGTGTCCGAGGCATGCAACGGCAACAAAATACAATGACAACAACAACATTAACTTAATCGCAATATCAAGTTCGCAAGGTTAAACAATGGCAAAAATAACACAGGTGGATATCTTGTACTCAAAGGCGTTCAACTAGATAAAAAAAAATTTAGATACATTTTCCTAATTTTTCTTTCTATTTTTTATACATTTTTTTTACTTTATATATCTGGCAAATAGAAAGAGTTTAGGCAATAAACATTCCATGTTTCAGTGTTGGGAAATTTTTAGTTTTATATGGTACTATTATATATATTTTCTGTTTACGTTTATATCTCTATAGAGAGCCTCTGTGTGTAGACCAGGCAAGCAAAAACGCTTTATAGGGTCTTATATACCACTCTGGCCAGTTACATAAACGTTGAAAACCCTAGCATACCCTCTCAGCTCATTTACCTGGATAAAGGGTATAATTAGCTCGTTCGCTGTAAACAGCACGCACACGAAATGCAGCTAAATAATATAGCTTTCGGTGGGCGCTGTGATTAGCATGCATTTAAATTAAATGAATGTTATTTGTAATTTTCCTTCCGAAAGACATTTGCATAGACTTCACTTGTAGATTAAATCCACTGAACACCGGACGTGGACCGGAAGTTAACAGAAAAAAAAAACAAAATGGCTTCGAAGTTGGTGAACGCTACAGCCGCACAGGTGACAGCAATGAAGGGTGTTATCCGGAACAGCAGCTATGTGATACCAGGACTATATGATCTATCCGTTGAGGATACCAATTGGGTGCTGACCTCATCCTTTATCATCTTTACCATGCAAACGGGCTTCGGCATGTTGGAGTCAGGCTGCGTTTCCATCAAGAACGAGGTGAACATCATGATGAAGAATGTAATTGATATTGTGCTTGGCGGCTTCACCTATTGGCTTTTTGGCTACGGCATGAGCTTCGGACGCGGACCATTCTCCAATCCATTCATAGCCATAGGTGATTTTCTACTCGATCCGCCCGTTGGCGACGAGCTGATGGGACAAATATTTGCTGCTTTCCTGTTTCAATTGTCATTTGCGACGACGTCCACAACGATTGTGAGCGGCGCCATGGCCGAACGGTAGGTTAAAAATGTACCCTAATTAATTACAAGAGAAGAAAGAATAGTATACCATAGTTCCTATAGTAATCCGAATTGATACTTTTTAGCTAATATTTAATGAATATAGTGAGACCTCTGGCTTCCCTCTCTGGGTTACCCATATCTATTAAAATTAAATTGCCCTATTCAATTGTGCTTAAACTAGACCTTCAATCACGATTCATATATTTACGTGCTTAAATTATCGGACATAGCCTTTCGATATTTATCTAATGATTATTTAGCTATCGATAGGTTTCCACATCACTGATATACAGATTAAATAGTGATATGCAGATTAAATACTTTTGCGGAAGCGTGGCCCATAGTTCCTATAGTAATCCGATGTGATACGTTTTTGCAAATATGTAAGAAGTAAAGTGAAATCTCTCCGGGCTCCCATTTATTTTAAAATTATAATGCCCTTTTCAAGTGTGTTAAAACTAGACCTTCAATCACGATTCATATATTCACGTGCTTAAATTATCGGACACAGCATTTCGATATTTATCTAATGATTATTCAGTTATCGATAGGTTTCCACATCACTGATATACACTCTTTTCCACAGTTGCAATTTCAAAGCGTACTGTTTGTTCTCGTTCCTGAATACGGCGGTCTATTGCATACCCGCTGGCTGGGTGTGGGGCGAACATGGATTCCTTAACAATCTGGGCGCCGTGGATATTGCCGGCAGCGGTCCGGTGCATTTGATTGGCGGCGCCGCATCCTTTGCTTCGGCTGCCATGTTGGGGCCACGTTTGGGCCGCTATGCCGACGGTATTGACCCGCTGCCCCTGGGCAATCCGGTTAATGCGTGCATGGGTCTCTTTGTGCTCTGGTGGGGCTGGCTGGCCTTCAATTCAGGCAGCACCTACGGCGTCAGCGGTGCCAAGTGGCAGTATGCAGCGCGTGCAGCCGTAATGACCATGATGGGCTCATTTGGCGGCGGATTTGTTAGTTCGCTGTAAGTGAAGATAAACCAACAAAGATTTGCCGAAAATTGATCAATCACACCCATTTATAGTTACTCGTTCTGGCGACACGATGGCCGCATGGACATCATGGATCTCATTAACGGCATTTTGGGCTCGCTGGTCTCCATCACGGCCGGTTGCTTTCTCTATCGCGCCTGGGAAGCGCTGATCATTGGTGCCTTGGGCTCGCTGCTGTGTGTTGTGGCCATGCCGCTTTTCGATCGAATGGGTGTGGATGATCCGGTGGGCGCCAGTTCTGTGCACGGTGTCTGCGGTATTTGGGGTGTCATTGCCGTTGGCCTATTTGCTGACAATCCTATACCTCTGGACACGACTAAGGGACGCAGTGGTCTGTTCAAGGGCGGCGGCTGGTATCTGCTGGGAATACAAACGCTGTCCGTCTTTTGCTTGGCCTGCTGGGGCATTTGCTCGACGATAATGTTGCTATATGTCATTAATAAAATAATACCCATACGCATGGATCCGCACGAGGAGCTGCTGGGCGCCGATCTCACCGAGCATCGAATACGTCACTCACAAATTGGACTGTCACGCGCTATTTCTGCGCTGGCCCCCATCAAGATCGATCTGCAAGAGATTATCGGCATTCAGCCCATTGGCATCAATCCGGGCCATGAGCGCAGCATCGAGCAGCTTCGCGCTGCGGACGACAAACTGCAGCAATGGCAATCCTACCTGGAGCAAGTGACTGGCAAGACTAAGAAGTTGGGCACAGCCCAGAAAACACTTGAGGAACAGCAACTTGAAACAGACATAACGCTTAATCTAAAATCTGCCAACATGGAGCAAGAAAAGCCGAGTAGCGTCTTTGGGCGCAAGGTGAGATCGGTGCATGTTATAAAGGACAACTGGAGCCAGGACAAGGGCTCCTACAAGCCTAACAACAGTGAGCTGCCGGTTACTAGCCCAGTGGCCAGACTGGACAAAGATGGCAACTTTGCCTGGTTGGACTAAAAAGATCCATTTCAATTCATAAACTAAAACCGCAGAATAGTCAAGTCTTTAATATGAGTCTCTTGCAAACCCATTGGGCTAATAACATGGTTCCTATTCAAACTATTTTTGACATTATATATTTCTTATTTAGTTAGTTGTAGATTGAAATTTAAAATTGTATTAATCAATTGTGTCAATTTATAATAGTACTACGCCCATTTAAACTTTGACCCGCATTTGTCATCCAAGAGGGGTGGATTTTGCGAAAAGCGTGAAACATCTCAAGTGAATTTGAACGAAGATCTTTGGAAATTAGTTTAAGGACGATCGTTTGGTAAACAAAAAAGGTTTCATACAACTAATTTACCGATTGGAATTTTCTGCGAATGGACTTTCCGAAAATGATATATGAGCTGCTTATACTGATCTAGAATTCTTTATTATTATTCAAGGGTATACAAATAATAGAACTGCAATGGACAGGAAGTTATAAAGCTTTGAGGTAGACCTCTACAGGAGCTAGTTTATATGTATATATCAAGAAAAGACATTAATTAGAAAAACCAAAAAAGAAACCCGTTGATTCGAGACTATTTCTGCGTTTACGCCATGAAAGTCATGATTTCCCAATTCTGCTAAATTAAACAAAAGCCCTATCTTATGCTACATTTTCAAAATAAACAACCTAGATTGTTTTTTAACAGAATCAATTGATGCAGTCTTTTGGGCGCAAACGGCTGCTAGTATAAGGCTCGCAGTTTTCGTATAACTTCAGCTTTACCGTATTAAAAAAGATTTAATTTTCTGCAAATCTCAAATTGATTTATTTTATTCAAGTACAAGCAAATATTGTTTGGATGATCGATCGATGTACGATAATAATATAATATATATGTATTATCCTAAGTTTATAGCAGTGTTTGGTTTCTATTAATATTTATATATATTTTACGTGTTGCAGTTGTATTATTATAATATAACTTTCAAGAGCAGTTGTCGTTTGTTCTTGTGGTTGGTTGGTATTTTCTAATTTAGAATCCAAGTTGAATATGTTTTCGTGTAAAATGTAAATTGTGTAATTGATTTATTGTGTGGTTTTTGGTTGGCGAGTTGATTAATCGACCTCCTCGATGGTGGGGCCAGCACCGCCGGCACCAGCAGCTCCAGGAGCAGCGCCTGCGCCAGGCATACCACCAGGCATACCGCCGGGCATGCCACCAGGAGCACCACCGGCGCTCTGGTAAAGCTTGGTGATGATTGGATTGCAAACGCCCTCCAGCTCCTTTTGGCGGTGTTCGTATTCCTCCTTATCGGCCAGCTGATTGGCGTCGAGCCACTTGATGGTCTCGTTGCACTTGTCCATAATGGTGGTGCGATCCGAGTCCGAAATCTTGCTCTTCAGATTGTCCTCGTCAAGGGTGGCCTTCATGTTGAAGCAGTACGACTCTAGAGCGTTCTTGGCAGAGATGGTCTCCTTCTGCTTCTCGTCCTCATTACGGTACTTCTCGGCCTCGTTGACCATACGCTCAATATCCTCCTTGGACAGACGACCCTTGTCATTGGTGATCGTAATCTTGTTCTCCTTGTTGGTCGAACGCTCCAGGGCGGTCACATTCAGAATACCGTTGGCATCAATGTCGAAGGTCACCTCAATCTGAGGCACACCTCGTGGTGCTGGTGGGATACCCGACAGTTCGAATTTGCCCAACAGATTGTTATCCTTGGTCATGGCGCGCTCGCCCTCGTACACTTGGATCAACACACCGGGCTGATTGTCCGAATAGGTGGTGAAGGTCTGCGTCTGCTTAGTGGGAATGGTGGTGTTACGCTTGATGAGCACGCTCATCACGCCACCAGCAGTCTCGATACCCAGAGACAGAGGGGTAACATCGAGCAGCAGCAGATCCTGCACCTCCTGCGACTTGTCGCCGTGCAAGATGGCAGCCTGGACGGCAGCACCATAGGCAACAGCCTCATCGGGATTGATGGACTTGTTCAGCTCCTTGCCGTTGAACAGATCCTGCAACAGGCGCTGCACCTTGGGGATACGAGTGGAGCCACCGACCAGCACAATATCGTGAATGGCCGACTTGTCCAGCTTGGCATCACGCAGAGCCTTCTCCACGGGATCCATGGTGCTGCGGAAAAGATCAGCGTTCAGCTCCTCGAAACGAGCACGCGTAATCGAGGTATAGAAATCGGTACCCTCGAACAGCGAATCAATTTCAATGCTAGCCTGGGTGGAGGAAGACAGCGTACGCTTTGCACGCTCACAGGCGGTGCGCAGACGACGCAGAGCACGCTTGTTGGTGGTAAGATCCTTCTTGTGCTTGCGCTTGAATTCCTGTACAAAGTGAGTGACTAGACGATTGTCAAAGTCCTCACCACCCAAATGGGTATCACCGGCCGTAGATTTGACCTCGAAGATGCCGTCATCAATAGACAGAATGGAGACATCGAAGGTACCGCCGCCCAAATCGAAAATCAACACATTACGCTCTCCAACAGCCTTCTTGTCGAGACCATAGGCAATGGCCGCGGCGGTTGGCTCGTTGATAATACGCAATACGTTCAAACCGGCGATGGTACCAGCATCCTTTGTCGCCTGACGCTGTGAGTCGTTGAAATAGGCAGGCACAGTGATGACGGCATTGGTAACCGTCTTGCCCAGGTACGCCTCGGCGGTCTCCTTCATTTTGGTCAACACCATGGAGGAGATCTCCTCGGGGAAGAAAGTCTTCTTCTCATCCTTGTACGTAACTTCAATCTTGGGCTTGCCATCAACGCTAACGACCTCGAAGGGCCAGTGCTTCATGTCGGATTGCACGGCCGCGTCATCGAATTTGCGACCAATAAGACGCTTAGCATCAAAGATCGTTTGAGTTGGATTCATGGCCACCTGGTTCTTGGCGGCATCACCAATCAAACGCTCCGTCTCCGTGAAGGCAACATAGGATGGGGTGGTACGATTACCCTGATCGTTGGCAATGATCTCAACCTTGCCATGCTGGAACACACCCACGCAAGAGTAGGTTGTGCCCAAATCAATACCAACAGCTGGAGCTTTAGACATCTGCAATGAGTGAAATAGAATTATTTGTGGATTAATTATTTGACTAGGTTTATTGTTTTTTTTTTTTAATCTAAAATTGTTTAAGTGTCAACGAACTTTGTAAAATTTGTGTTCTCTGGCATCTCTGTTAAAAGAAACACAAAGCTGTGCATAGTATTGGAAATTGGAAAGCGATTGCTTAATCGGCTAAATGGGGACACATCGGACAAAACGATATGTCATATTTTAATGGTTGTATAATCAATTATTATTATATATTAGGTAGGTAGCGCATTCTAACAAACTAATCAATTAATTTTGTAGAAAGGCTGAGGCTGCAACCCTGGCCATGAAAGTAGTGAAATAAATTTTTATAGCGTTTTTCGCCTTATGTTTGTAATGCCTTTTGCGCTGAATTTCATGTCAACGGAAACTGGTTGTTGCTAATGTCACAGTCAACACCCAAAACGGTGAAACGTGAGCATATGACTAATTATAATGGCCGAGGCACACAGTATGTACTTACATATTATACATGTACATACAACAATCAAACAAGATAAACTGGCAGATAACAATGGAGTTTCATTTCGGCAGCAGCTGCTTATTTTCATCAAAAGGTGCAAGCACCGCATGGGCACAAAGGCGAAAATTCTGGAATGCTTGAAACCCCAAACATGAACACACATAAGTATGTATCTACATATATGTACGCAAAACCACGCCGTTGCCAGACTGGATTGGATTGTACAATTTATTGTGCGTAAGAAAGAGACGACGCTAGTATACAAGCACGCGCGCGCTAAATTTTATATGTATGCAAGTTTGAAAGGTTTTTATTCCATCTACGCGTGCACACGCATACATTGAAATGCCGGTTGCTAACCACGCTTAAATATAGAAAATAAAAACTATAAAACCAAACTTTTCAGCATTAAATATAAAAGTAAAAGAAATAAAATTTTCCAATCATAAATATAAATGCGGACGTCAGCAGTAGAACGTCATCATGACTCATGATGACATGAGTAGGTAGCGTGCGTGTGATGCGGCATATTTTTTCAATGGAATATTCCAGTGCAACCACACTTAAAATAAATCCGCAAATTACGATGAGACATCAAATACAAACTTATGTATGTATATGTACATGTACGTATATGCAAGGCTTTAATTATTTATTAGAATCCACAAAGCAATGCAAAATCGAATGACGCAATATATATGCATGTACTATTGTAAATACGTTTAAATGCTTGAATGTACATGCCGTGAATAGACATTCATATATATGTAAATAAGTACCTCTGTTAAAATTCTAAAGTTTAAGCACTTGCAACCTTTTCTATTTTAACGCAATTTAAAATTTCGAAATCTACAATTACAATGAACTACTTTCAGTACGCATAATTATTGATTAACGCCAAAAAAAGCACATGTTATTCACTGGAAATTTTTTTCTGTGCAAACACGCGGCATTGAGCACGTGCAAAATTTAGCGTGCACTGCTGTGTGTGAATGTAAATTGCTAAAAATAAAACTTACCTTTATGTGTTGCTTAATTAAAATGTACTAAATATATGGATAAACGTGTAATTGCTTCTTCACTTCTTTGTCCCACTTAAATTTCTTTCTGTCGAGTCGACACTCAGACGTTCGATCAAACTGGCACTTGTAATAGGAATAATGATGGCGTACGATGGTGCCTTTACTTATAGGCGCGTTGCCCTGCTCTGGAAAATTCTAATATTCTGACCTGATGTGGCAAGGCTGGCCAAAACAGTGTTGCTCTATTAGCTTTCAGTATTTATCGAAAATAATCAAATGCTGTAGCCCTGCTTGCTAAATTGGCCTTGCCGTGCAGATAACAAGCGCGCCAAACTTAAAAAGTTACAAACAAATTTTTATAACACTTTGCAGTCATAAATCAATAAACAGCAATAACAATATTTGTGATATCAAGACCCCACATCGAAAGCGTTAAGTAGCTAATGGCACGCGTTATCAGCCATACTTTAACTGATACTGACAGGATTAGAATGGAAATCGGTATTTTATAGGTATACGTGCACTTTATCAACAGATTAGTGGTCAGCTAGTGCATACGCTTTAAATATATTTATCGCGTTACTTATCTTAATGAGGTATACGTCAAATATTTATAAGTGGCTAATATAATAAACCTACTAATGCTAGATCCTTGAAGGTTATTATTTTTTATTGCTAAGTACATTAATCAAATTAATCAGCCTTATTTACGGGCATCGAGCTTACAATCCGGTTCAACTCCCTCAAAAATTGGAGAACTTTCACCACCTCCACCACCTCCAGTAATAATTTTCAGAAGATCCGATATTTTGCTATTGATCAGCTGCAAAGAGTAAGAAAAAAAATGATAAGAATCACAATTTTCAATTTTCAATTCCGCTTGCAAAAGTAACCCACCGTTTCGAGCTTGTCGACTACTGTGCTTTGCTCATAGTCCCATATATCGCCTAGCAATTCGACTCCCATTTCATTAACCAATGCATGTACAAAATCATCAATGCGCTTCTCTTCCAACAAATTTTCAAAGTTAATTTTCAAATCTCCCATATGCATTTCGATTTGTAAGCCAGTGATGGCTAAAGACGTCGACGCTTTAATTCTCCATGAGATTTCGAACGAAAAGTCTTTAATTGACGCCCTAAAAAGGTGACGAGATGAAATAAATGGTTTGTCAAATATCCACATCTATATTCCTTACTCAGCGTTGCCGTCGCCGGACAAATTCAGAATATAGGCCAAGGAACCCTTAGCGGTATATAGGGATTTCAAATAGGTGTGTGGAAAGGTGACATTAATCGTACTCCTCGTCACTCCAGGAATAACATTTATTTTTAGCGTATTTACAATGAAATCTGAAAGACCATTCAGCTTAAAGTCCTCAATCGAACCGGTAAAGCTACAAACAATTAAAGGCTTACATATCGAGCTTATATGAGCAGAGGAAATGTTCGGACTTACTCGACAAGATAGTTGTTATTCACAGCTGTCTCTGCAGGACCTAGCTCTAGTGGATCCAATGCGGGTAGGCCCAAATTCGGTATCGGGTGGCACATGCGTATACGAAACTCCTCGAGAAATGCCTGAATTGTTTCCTCATAGACGCACGCAACGGGCGACAGGCAACTGTAGATCGTGGCCACGGCCAGAAGCACCTGCCATAGGTAACCGGTCCGCATTTTGCTTAATTTTAGAGATCCGTTTGCCTGGGGCTGAAGCACGCGACTGAACTACCTATGCAAAAGTTTTCGGTTTTTGTCAAGTGCACCCATTTCCAGTTCCCATTATGAATGTCAAGATACGACTAAAACCAATTCATGAAATACCCTTGCCTAGTAGGGCATATTTACTATAAGTGTACTTAGCTGAGCAAAAACAGAAAATATGCGTAGTATTGATATGATGAATCTGTGAATGTTTAGACCCTTGCATAGGGTATTATAATAATGGCATGGACAACTTCCTTAAGACTCTATAGAAACTTGGCAATATGTCCACACATTTCTAAGGGATTTCTTTTCTAGTATTTTCTTCAGTGATATTATTATTACATAAGCAGCTTTAGGGTATACAAAATACTTTTGTTTTCTCTTTTATTGCAATTTTAATATTAAGACCAAAGCTTATCGCTAAAAAGCTGGTGGGGCCTGAATGGATGAAGCCAATAACAGGTCTACCCTTATCAATGGCTACTATTTTCGATTAACAATAGCACTTTATTTGTTATTTACTATTCAAGAATAATCGCAAGGCTGCCGTTAAATCGTTTCATTGGCTGCATTATCAAACATCAAAGTTAAATATGTAGGTGGAAGGCCGACAACTAGTAGAATTAATATCTAATCTAATGCTAAACCTGTTCTGGTGGCTGTCGCAAGTGCTCGGGAATCTGCTGCAGCTCCGTTTTGGACGCTTGCAGTGCCACGCCTTCGGGCAGATTGCGTTCAATGTACTCTAAGAATGTGTCCAGCGTTGAGCCCGTCAGCTTGTGAAAGTTCATGTAGCGAAAATGTGTGCGTATCTCATATTGGACGCGATGCTTCTTGTAAATGTGCACCGACTTTAGCAGGGTCATGCGTTCGTGGTGTGCCTTCCGAGGAGACCAGCTGCAAGTGGTAAAACGAGCATTTAATATGGATTTATTGGGGTTTCAACTTCAGCCGGTACCTACCACTTGCCTAACTCAATGCCCAAATGCTCAGCAGCGGTTGTAGCAAACCAGGTGTAACTTTTTAGCACCGCCGGATCTATGCCTCGCAGCTCAATTTCCAATTTACTGTAAAGTTTATCAGGCTCGCCCACGGCGGCAGGAGGCGTAGCTTCGGTGCTTGGTAAAGTTGCTGCTGTTGTATTGCTTAGGGCGGAGGCAAAGCGCGCTGGCTGTGTCAGACGTAATGTCTTAAATAGCTTAAATAGACAAACATAAATAAAAACATTAGTTTTAAGTAATCAATAAAATTAAAATCAAATGCTCACCTGAAGCATTTTGTTATTGCAGCTAGAAACCAGAAACAGGGTTATGCAAGTGCAGGGATGCAAAACGTTGATTACCTATCGATAGACGGTGAGCATTGAATTTTGCCGGGGTGTGGTAACACTGACACTCCTTGCACGTGCAGCCCAATAAGAGCGCTTTTAAACTTTATTGTGTATAGCAATTTGTTTTTATTTGTAATTGTAGCTTTTGGCATTTTAATTAAGAGCTAGACTTTGTATTTACTTAATATGAAAAACACAGATCAGAAAGGTAAGTGCAATAAGAAAACAAAACATGACGCGCTGACAACAGAATTTTCCCCGACAGCAAACGAGTCCAGCGAGCCCAGCTCCGATGAGGAGGCATACGACGACATTGAGGATGATGAAGAAATGGGTGAGGACGAGGGAGAGCCAACAACTTGTTTGTTTTGCACGCAAGTTTTTCCCAGTATTGATCTGGCCATCGAGCATTTAAACAGTCAGCACAAAGTAAATTTGTCGCAGCTCAAGCAGAAATTTCAAATGGATCAGTATGGTTTTATTAAACTTATAAATTACATACGTGGAGGTCAAATCAGCCCAGAGCTGCTGCTACTAACAGAACAGCCACAGTGGAATGATGAAAAGTATCTAAAACCCGGAGACTACGAGCCGTGGCTGTGCTATGACTACGATGCGCTAAAGACTGACGAAACGGAGACAGCTGCCAGCGTTCCGGAGCTGATGCAACGCATTGCTGAGCAAGGCAAACTACTGCAACAGGCCAGTGAGGATATGGAAAGGATGCGCAACGACTATAAAGCACTCCTGCAAAAAGTGCACAGCGATGTTGAGGCCGGCGGAAATGCAATGCCATCAACCAGCAATGGCATCGTGCGCAACGCCCCAACGCTGGATAAAGAATACTTCAATAGCTATTCCCACTTTGGTATACATTACGAAATGCTCAGCGATAAGGTAGAGAATCATATTACATAGTGGTGCTCCAATAATAATATTTCTCATACCCATAGGTACGCACAAGCAGCTACCGTGCAGCTCTAATGCAAAATCAGAAATATTTGCATGGCAAGTCGGTGCTAGATGTGGGCTGTGGAACAGGTATACTTTCTATATTTGCATCTCAAGCGGGCGCCGAGACCGTCGTGGGCATTGACAACTCGGAGATTGTCTATACCGCTATGGACATAGTCAGGTGAGCCAGTTTTCAAAGGTTTTCAAAGCATTTCAAAGATTTATTGTTGTGATTATTTTTTTGAATACCCAAAAAGTTGAAAACTTGTTACTCTTTGCCATATTTGCTTTAAAACATCCATGTAAATAACACATACAAGTGAGAATCGGGAGAGGAACCAAAATGCGTGAAAAATGTATGAATTAGAATTTAGTGTGCGTAACTGTCCCAAGTCTAATTAGAAACTCCAAAAAATCCATCTAGAATGTAGTTGGACTAAAAACTGTACATCAATTTTCAGTCTGATACAGTTTGACAGCTACTTGCCCAGTGTCTCATCCTGAACCCATTTTATTAATTTAAATTTAATATAATTATAATTAAAATGCTCTTACTTGAAATAATTGATACCACATTAATTTCAATTTCTTATTTTATCAATGAATAACCATATGAAACGTTTCCATTGACAGGAAAAACAATGTGCAAAATGTAAAATTAGTAAAGGGAAGACTAGAGGACACTGTACTGCCAGAGGACAAATACGATGTCATCATCTCCGAATGGATGGGCTATTTTCTGCTATACGAGGCAATGCTGGACACAATTATCTATGCACGCGAAAACCATTTGAAGCCCAATGGCAAAATTCTGCCCAATCGCTGTACGCTGCATTTGCTGGGTATAAATGAGGCGCTGCATGAACAACACGTTGAGTTCTGGTCGGATGTCTACGGGGTTAATATGAGTGATCTGCGCAAGCGCAGCATTGAGGAGCCCCTGATGGAGGTGGTAAATCCTGAGCATATACTCACAGAGAGCGAGCAAATTGCCAGTTTTGATATGATGACCGTGGATCTTAACTATTCGAATTTTACGCATGAATTCCACTTAAAGTGCACACAAACGGGTAAATTGGCTGCCTTTGTGGGTTACTTTGACACGCTGTTTGAACTGGATAACCAAATCATGTTCAGCACATCGCCAGCCGAGACGCCCACACACTGGAAACAGACGGTCTTTTTCATAGACCAGCCACAAACGGTGCAAAAGGATCAGGTGATAAGCGGCAAAATCAGCTCCCGGCGCCACCAGGGCGATGTGCGTGCACTGCATGTGGATATCGAGGCCTTTGGGAGGCATTATAAGTACTCGGTGGATTAGTTGGTCTTCAGATTGTTTTAATGCAAGTTTTTTGTAGACAAAATGTGAGCTTAATTAATATTAAAAGTATGTAATATATAAATTAAAATGAGTACCCGCTGCCAGGTAAGCTGGCGCAGTGCAGTTGCCAAAAAACAATTTTACATATATTTATTATGGGAGGGGGTGGGCGATAGAGAAACAGATGCCAAAAACATAAAATAATGTTGCTTTAAGCAGTGTTGGTTTCCAGATCGGAAGCGGGTATTTCGGGCTCCTCATCGTTGTACACGTTCTCGGCCATTTGCCATACTTGCATGATATTGTCCTCCGACACAGAGCATATGATCCATGGCTCATTTGGGTTCCAGGAGAAGTCGCTGATTTTTGCCGTATGGCCACCGTGTATGAAAAGCAGCTCGGGCGGGCCATCTTCGGCATCTTCAGAGCTCTGCTCCTCGCCAATTTTCGATAAATCCCACACATGTAGACGCCGATCGGTGCCCGAGGAAGCCAGAATGGTCTCATTATGGGGCGACCATTGCACCTGAAAGATTTCATCCTTGTGCGACTCAAAGGAATGTAGTTTCAACTTGAGATTACGCAAATCCCACAAGGCGACCGTTTTATCCGCAGATCCCGTGGCCAATATAAATTCGGAGTACGGATTAAAGCTCAAACAATTTACTTCGGCCGTGTGCGCATCAACTGTGTGCGATGGTTTTGATGTGTTGTTGTTGCGCGTATCCCAAATCATCAGCTTCTGATCATCGGCCACCGAACCGAATAATGATTCATGCAGCAAATGCCAAGCCACATCCTCAACGACGGCGGTATGGCCAGTGAATATATTCTTCGCATCGATAACGCGATGCTCCTTGGGCGTGGCATTGATATCCCACAAGCAGATGGTGTGATCGTCCGAGGCCGAGAGCAAGTAACCTAAAGACGGAAAATGATAAGTGAAAACAGAACTACATAAAAAACGGGTTATAAAAAGAAAAAATATAAAATAAAATGTTCACTAGGAAAGATAGCTTTTTCAATTAGGAAACAGACGGACATGGACACTGCGACACGGTGAGATGCCTCCTTCATTGGGTAACACATTTCGTCAAAATATCATAAAATCTAATCTAGCACTGGTATTTAAGCAATTCATGAAGCTATCCTCGTGCTTACCATTCAAATTGGGATTCCACGACAGACCGTAGCCTTCCTTCTGGTGTCCTCGCAAACGCAAGTCCGGCTGGCATTCGCCGGATGGTTCCGGTTTGCTGGGATGCTTTGTATAGTCAAATACGAGAACATCGCTTGAGGGAGTTTTGGTAGCAATAACGCAAGCATTTTGCGGCATGTAGCGTGCACGGTTCACTTCCCCTTCGTGATTGATCTTGATTTCAATCTCGATTTTACCGCATACTGAGCCAAACCCACCGAATTCGCCCTTCTCATTATCGTAGTGGGAGCCATCGAACTGTGCATCCTCACTAGGCAGTTGGACGCTGGCAATCAGCAAATGATTCTGTTCATCCGAGGTATGTGTGCCCAATATCAGGCGATGAACGGAGTAATCTTTGCCATCCTGTTTGGTTACATCAGGCAGCCATTGCGCCGTTAGTGAAGGCCATTCCAGAGCGTGCGTCATGACCAGATCGTATAGAAATGGAGTGTTCTTTTTCCATATCTTGTACTCTTCGTTGATCACACGTTCCTCGACGGCATCGTCAAAGGATTCCGCTGCTTACAAACAAATTGTTAAAATTCGGCATTTGATCAACGTTTGCCATGTTTGTTACTTACCATTATCGCTGCGATCCACCATTTTAGACCACGCAGCCAAATTATAATTTCACGCAAATTTTTGTGCGCGTCGCAAATTCGGGCGCCAAAACAACAAAGCGGCGGCGGCAAAAGCGTGCTCAGTCGGCAAAATTTTACAGGCTTTACGGCTTCGTTTTAAACAAGCGCTCTAGTTAAAAATGTAATACTTAAGATAACACTTAAATTTTTATTATAAAAATTGAATGTGCTCTTGGACTTTTTGCAACAATACTGTTAGCAAAAAGTTAGAAAATTATTTTCCTTTTTTTTTTGCAAGCGCGTCGGCTGCTAGATGCGACAGAGATGTGTAGAAATATCATCGGTAGCGATGTAAGAAAGTCGATTAGTCTAACCCATTTGAATTTTGGTATACAATGATTTTAATCGATAGTTTGATTTGTATAAATAGTAATTCATACACACATGCATGCATACGTTACGTATGTATTTAATAATTTTTCCCTTCAAACCTACATGCATACAAACCTACTTAGCCAAAAAATGTACATGTGTATCCGTACAAAGCCTGTATATTTGATAGCCTGTGTGAAGTGTGATCATTTCTGCACGCATACATACATATGAACATGCGTATTGTTTGGGCAAGCATAGAAAGGGACGTTAGTGTTATTGTTATAGTTATAACAAAAAATGTTCCTTGTGTTTTAACGATTTTCAGTATTTAGATGGATTGGCTGTCGGCTATGCCTAAGCAATCGAAACGAGAACGAAGATAAATTTCAAGGCATTTAGCCAAAATGTCAGTATCCGCAACGATCCGACGCTGCTTATTATGTAGCTACATTTAAGTCCTAGTTCTATTAACATTAACATGTATATTTAATTATTTTAACCAAACAATTCAAATGGCAAAGGTAATATTTGCATTCATTTTTGTACACGTTTTAAAAACATAATAGCCTCCGCCAAATCGAAAATTCGATATTTCAAATGACTCGTCATCGATAGTTAGCAGCTCTCGCTTGCTCGTTGGCGATAGTTCAAAAATATCGGAAATTCATCGCAAAGTAGTATAGTTGTTGCACGACACACGATTATCGTGCTGCCACCGCGTTATCGGCTACTTTTAATTGCTTATATTTAGAAAAATACGCAAACAAGTTAAGTTTCGCCACAGGAAATGGAAACGTAATAAAAACTAAGATAAATAGACACCAACCCCGACTCATTCGGACGTTCTTTGTGTGGGGGAACTAAAATGAAGAATTACCGCTTTGGATTACATGTAAGAAGGTAGTTTCGATAGTTGTTCGATTCCCGAAAAAATTCAACGGGCAAAAGTAGCATGCTGTCTGTGCACGTACAAAATGTTCAATAAATTAGAATTTAACAATTTGGTAAGTAAACAAAATTTGTTTAAGCGCAATAATTACAAAAATTTACCAATAGGTAATTACCAACAAGAAACATATACAACAAGCGCGTGCCCAAACCATTGCAAGGGTCGTGAATAAATTGCGCAAATTGAAGGATGAACTGAAGAGGAAACCGGAAAGTGAAAAACACCAGGAACGCTTACGCAAAAGCGTCGTATGTATTTCAGAGCTTAAGTCGCTCAAATACATGGACATAATGCGTACGCTGCTGCTGCAAAATGGTAAAAATCACAAGGCTGTGCTGACCAATGGTCGTGCAACGCCGGATGAAGTAGCTATTGCCATGTTGGGGTTAAACAAAATCATGCAAATGCTGGTGGCAGCATTTCAACAGGCCTTGGATCTTGGTAATAAAGCCAATGACGACTGGCGCACTGCAATATTGGAGACAAGCAAGCGGCGCCTCAAATTGGAACGAACCGAGGAGAAGCGGCGTAGACGTAAAGAGCTCAAGGAACAGAAGGCGCAGACACGCAATCGTACTATCTGGTTGCAGCAAAATCCACCAGGCGAAGACAAATGCGAGCAAGATGTCATAAATACAGCAGCTGGCGAATGCCTGATAGAATGTCCGTTAACTCCGAACCTTATAAGCAATGTGGACAACAACGAAATTCAAGATAATCCAATGCTTACATCTTCATCCGATTTATTGGAGGCAACTAAACAGAAAAGGCCCAAATGCAATGAGAATCAACAGAAAGTACAAGAAAAGTCAAAGAAACGAATAGCAGAGCAACCTAAAATCGAAGGGGAAAATACCCCACAGCTAAAGGGAGAGGTTGTTAAACCCAAACGCACGAAAATAAAGGAAGCGGGAAATAAGCCAAAGCAGGAGAAATCAAGAGGCAAACTTACTGGAAAAGAAGTAAATGAAGTAGTAGTCGGAAATAAAACACAGCGTGAGAAAGCAGGCGCCATTCCCAAACGTGAAGAAACGAAGGAAGTAGAAAATAAACCGCAGCGGGAGAAAGCGGGTGCCAGTCGCAAACGCATGACAGCCAAGGAAGCAGAAAAAGAACGACCCACCCATGTGGTCGATCCTTTTTTCATTACAGAATCGGGACAACCATATCTATCAACTGCAGTTGTTCT